TAGACTCAAATAAAAATGGGTCATATCATCAGATTGGCCGGAATTTGAAGAGTTCTGGGGCTTACCACCAGAGAAGGATTTAGGCTTCGGCGTGAACGGCGCCAAAGAACCAGATGGCTGAGAGTTGTTTTGCTGGTTAGTAGAACCAGTCTTCAAGTCCGAGGAACCCTTCTTCGGGTTCCGAGCAATAAAAGGCTTACCAGCCTCACGCTTTCTAGTTTCCTCATGTTTCCAATAATGGTTGTCAATGCGAAGAACCTCTTGACGATAATTGGCGAGTGTCGCTGGTTCGGGCAAACGTGCCATTTCGTCTTTAATGTGTTCAGCTAAACCTCGTCCATAAGCCCATTTCAGGGCAGCAGAATCCCAGTTGGTACTAGCAGCCAGGGTGTTGAACCGAATGTTGTATTTCCGGATGTTCTCAGTTTCCTTCATCTTCAGATTACCGAGAGAATCTTCGGCCTTGCCTTGGGCATCGTAAACGCCGAAATTGTCCTGAAGCTCCTTTACAAGGGCTTTGAAGGAGGATATCCAGGCCGGCAGCGAGTCGAGATCTGGGTTGAGGATATCAGGGACAAACCATTGTTTGGCTGACCCACTGAGATAGGAAAGGGTGTAGTTCACCTTCCGTTGGTCGGTGAAATACTTTGGACGGTCATTAAAGACCAGGGCGAGATTGACAAAGAACGTCTTGAGTTTTCGGGGGTCCGAACCGTTGAATACCTCTGGCTCCTTGACCTTGCTCTTGGATTCAGAGCTGTCAGAGGGATGGCCGAGAGCGGCGAGAACGGTACCAAGGGTCTCAATGGAGCCCTTGAATCCCGAGAGAAAATCCAACATAGCACATTGCTCGTTGGGGATGTCAGGAGAGATAGGAGAACGGGGTCCACCAGGTCCACCAGGTCCACTGGGGTCACCAGGCTCACCACACGGTAAACCGCCGGATTCATCATCCAGATTGTCGTTGATATTGTCGGCACCCGGATCGTTGGGGTCAACAGGAGGGTCTTGATCGTTGTGATCACCAGCGTCCAGATCAAAGTGAGGAGGCGGGTCACAAGGAGATTCTGAAGCAACACAATATTGAGGTTGTTTTCCAGTACGACGAGCTATGGCTTGGAGGATGGGAGAATCAATTCTAGTAGTAGACCGGCCCCGAGCCGGAGCGACCACAGGGGGTTGTCCACGGCGAGGGGTCAAGACTTGGACAGGTTGTCCGTCACCGGTATACAGAGTACTGTATTTGAATTGTTGTTCTTCTTGTTGAAGTTGAAACACACTGGAGCACCCTTCAGCTAACCCAAGCAGTATGCCACCCAGCTCAGTGCAGAGAATGTCAATGCCTTAATACAAGACTAGTAGGTTGGACTACAAGCCTTATAGTTGCTCAGTACTCCAATAAACACTGTAGATATTACAGAAGTCAATATACAGTGAGGATTGATTTGTATCTTTCAACTATAGTAGGAATACAGGTTTGTTTGGTCTTGTATGAGAAACGCATGAGGCGTGATAATATGTGTCCACAATTGTGCGCACCTATGAAAACTAACTAACTACAGTAACACTAAAGAAATAGCTAAGTTATGAGTTGTAAAACTAAGTAATGAAGTCTGTAAGTACTTTATACACTAAGTAAGTCACTACAGTGATAACTAGGAGTGATGAGGCACTGTGTAATGTATGTAGAAAGTGTTCTATCACTACAGTATGCTCAACACTTCTTCCATGGCCTCAGGAAGAGTCGACGTAGTGGGGACTGTGGCTGGACCGAAACCGTGATTACGGCGACGTGGTTGACCAATGGCAGAAATAGAGTCGGAGAAAGGGGCAAAGGATTGGGCTGTGGTGAAGAAAGTATTTTCTTTGGAGTTAGCTCTAGATTGAGCTCGGGTTTTTGGAGGCATAAAAAATGATATGTCAGTACAATGTTAACGGATTGAGTTTGATTATACTGTTAAGATCATGTACACCATGTAACCGTGCCAGAGGCCACAAGGTGTCTAAGTGCGGGAGGTTGAGTGGGACAGTAGTGAAGTTATTAACAACACCGCCGTTACGCCGTTAGTCCCCGGAGATCAGGAGTATAGAAGGGAGGAGCTAAGTAGCAGCCAAGTCGGAGCGGCGGTATTGCCGGTGACAAGGAGCGAACCAAAGAACGTCTAAGTCCTAAGGTTATAGTAGAGAGTACTTCGAGGCAATGAGCCTGAAGACTTAGAGGAGCACAAAGTTAAGGAGGGAATCTAGGTCGATAATTAAACTGAGGAACTACAGTAGCATACAGGCAGTATTTATATCTACGGAGCGGCGCAGCGGTGCGGAATGCCAGACTAACTACTAGGAGCTATACGAGTAGTACCTGCAGGGTAAAGTAAAAGACAATAAGGAGGGACTAGAACGAAAGGGTATGTGTAGTGAGAAAGAACAATAAGAGTGAGATTACAATAAAAGTGGATCTTCGGAATACTGAGCGGCGGAATGGAGCCCCGAGGCATGGACTTGACAGTCGGTCTAGTACTAGGCTAGGTGGTGGGAGTACAGGATATTCTGGTTCTGGTGTACCCTGTGGTTTCTGGGATGATGATGATGCAATTGGCTCTTGTTTAGGAATTGGTGTGCTCTTCATCCAAGTATAAGGTCTTCTTGTTTTCTGTTGATAAGTCTACCAAAGCTAGAGATATGACCAGTTGTTGTTTTGTCATATCTGTTCGGACAAGGTTGATCTTTGTTAGGATTCAATCCTGACACCCTAATGAGGTGTAAATGGTATTATGCAAAATTCCATCAACCAAGGCAAAAGAAGATAGTAAGTCCTTAAGAAGTGTTGTTTGGATGGCCACTGTTACCATATGTAAAGTCCTCATTAGTTGAACCAAGGTCGGATAGCTCAGTTGGTTAGAGCATCTGGAATATAACCAGAAGGTCCTGGGTTCAATCCCCAGTCTGGTCACTTTGTTTTCAGTCATGACTTTAACAATCTTTGCAAACTCTGTATTTGCTGTCATCAGGATCATGATACCAATCCTTGACGTCATCTTTGTCAAAAATATGCTCGCTATGAGCACAAGCTGCAGTTGGCTTGGTTGGATGGTTATTGGCTTTGTGAGGAGGGTTAGTCCTTAATGACATAAATCAATGTATGCACTGTATTTCTTGTTTATTTAGGTTAGGGCGGGGCCCATAACCTGTTAGAATATAATCACGTTATATTCAGTAGCAATGGCAGTAAAAGATAGAGTGCACACAGCACTGTAGCTGATCACACAAATCAGATGATGAAGGAGTAGAGAGGACTGCTTATTCAACGAGGTGAATACTACAGGTTTATATACAAGTTCAAGGTAGACGATGTCATGTTACAGCTAAATATAGCGAGAGAGAAAGGAAGTACAATACAATGTATCCTACTGGTAGTCCTATAGTAATAGTACATGATGGTGAGATTGATAACACGGTAGTAAGATAGTGGTTTGCTGAGCTGTCATATGCATGCAATTCACCCCATACGCTTCCCGGCCTGGCCCGGAGCGGCCGGACTTCGGAGTAATTACCTTGTGACTTATTTATTATTCCGAGCTTTCATCGAGGTCTTATGATTACTGTATTTGGGATGTATATAAGCTAGAATACTTTGTACGTTATAGTCAAGCTTGAAATCAAGTGTACCATTCTATCCTAATCTTTAATATCTTCTTTACCCTTTGCTTCCGGACTCCCGGATCATCAGGAACCCCATTTAGGCTGCTCATCCCAATCTTGCACTCTTGCCATAATTCCCGGGGACACCAACAGTGTGTGAAGGGTGTTGCTAATAGCTTCACTGACGTCCCACTCCCAGTGTGTACTACAGGCCAGTACTCAGCTTCGGACCTCGGAGTTATCCCAGGCCATTTCCGGCCCATATCCGACCTCAGAACCTCTATAGTTATTGACCTGTAGGCACGGTCTTGTCATGAGCATACTGTAGTGATTAAACACTTTCTACATACATTACACAGCGCCTCATCACTCCTAGTTATCACTGTAGTAACTTACTTAGTGTACAAAGTACTTACAGACTTCATTTCTTAGTTTTACAACTCATAACTTAGCTATTTCTTTAGTGTTACTGTAGTTAGTTAGTTTTCATAGGTGCACACAATTGTGGACACCTATTATCATACTTCATGTGTTTAAGACCAAACAAACCTGTATTCCTACTATAGTTGAAAGATACAAATCAATCCTCACTCTATATTGACTTTGGTCACTGTTACAGTGTTTATTGGAGTACTGAGCAACTATAAGGCTTGTAGTCCAACCTACTAGTCTTGTATTAAGGCATTGACATACTGTGCACTGAGCTGGGTGGCATACTGCTTGGGTTAGCTGAAGGGTGCTCCAGTGTGGTTCAACCTCAACAAGTGCAATCTCCTTCAACACTTTTTGCAGCTATTTTAAGAAATTTTGGGTGTATGTTCATCGTGAGGAGACAGTGGGTGGGGGCCCCTTATGGCGCCGTTATGGACATGATACCAAGTGGTCAGCTGTCAAGCCGGAGATCCTGGTCGAAGTCACTTATAGGCAGTCCGGTTTTTTAAAAATCTTCCTATTTTCATGGAATTATGCAAAGGGCTGTAATAGCTGATACTTAGAAATTTTAGCCAAGTATGCATCATATATATTACATTGTTTTGAGATACTCAATACAGAGATAGATGTTCCAGTAAAACAAATTTACAGCAAGTGTATCAAGGACTCCAAGATCACTGTAGCAATTGTGTTGTACAGTACTCAACACCAAATATGAAATAAGGGTATCCTATAAATCTCAGAATTGAAAGGAAATTTCTCAGACACAAATTTCTTTTTCAGATGGCATATTCATGGAAAAAATGTTATTCTTCGAAGACTTTCTCAATCATTTCCCTTCAGGGCTTATTAGGGTTGCCAGTATCACAAACAACAGAACCAGTCAGCAGTGTACCAGACCCTCCTCCCGGGATTACAAACAGGAACATTTACCGGTCGACTTCACTATTTTATTGAGATAAAGTTGAGCACACCACCAAACCTCAAAGGTGGAAACAGAACATACCCAAACACAAGATCCATAGTTCCAATGATAGCGACTGCATCTGCAAGCATGTGCTTTAAAAAGCAAGTTCAACTCAAATTTAACGCATCGTTCATGGCAAAGTATACTCACGTCTAAAAAGAAACAAAGGATTGAGTTATTTTCTGAGATAAATTCGACCACATCAAAAAACTCACGTCTCATAACAAAGTCAGCACCAGCTAAATGAGCGAACCCAGGCGCGCGTATAGAGCACCGGTATGGGCGATTAGTGCCGTCACTTCGCAACAAATAAGCGAAACATTCTCAGCATGCATGAGAGTAAAACACTCACGAGACTAAGTAAACTCCCATCTCACCCTTTGGCGCCTCGATTGCGCTGTAAGTCTCGCCAGGAGGAACAGAATATCCCTCGCTGAAGATCTACGAAATTCATAAGTTTTCCATCAAATTCAAAGATTAAATGGATTAAATGAAAATAACCTTAAAATGATGAATGAGACTTTCCATGCTTTCCTTCATAGACGCACGGGGAGGAGGGACGAGCTTGTGGTCATCCACCTTGATCGCTCCGGGGGTAATCTTGTTTAAGCACTGCACAGTGGAATTATTATGGAAGCCCATGTTTCGTATTACAAAATCAACACATACCTGACTTATGATTCGCAGAGATTCCCTCATTTCTTGAACACGGCAGAGATATCGATCGTAACAATCTCCATTGACACCGATAGGTATATCGAACTCAACCTGACAATACTTCGGGGTAAGCTTTGCCCTGACGAGAAAATCTAATAGACCTGCCTGATCGTACATGTCATAGGGTTGAGTTCTCCGCAAGTCCCAGGGAACACCACTCCCCCGCAACATGACCCCACTGAAGCTGAAGTTCAATGCCTCCTCCTTGGTAACTACACCAACGCCAACAGTCCGCTCCTTCCATATCCGGTTACCAGTGACAACTTCCTCTATTTCGTCGATTCTAGAACCGTATTGAGTTGCCCACTGAAAGATGTCGTCTAAAAGCCCATGAGGCAAGTCAAAAGCAACACCGCCGGGTCGCACGTAAGCGGAATGCAAACGAGCCCCAGAAACGCGCTCGTAGAATTCCATAAGCTTTTCCCGCTCTTCGAAACCCCAAAGGAAAGGTGTAAGGGCACCAACATCCATAGCATGGGTAAGGACAGCCATCAAGTGGTTTAAAATACGAGTGATTTCTCCAAAAAGCGTTCGAATCCATTTTGCGCGATCAGGAACTTCTATGTTCAACAGTTTCTCTACCGCGCGAGAATAACATAATTCGTTGGTCACTGAAAGTGATGAATGTCAGTAAAATTTGAGGGCTCGGGACGAACTGCAACACACTCATGGAGACGTAGTCGAGACGGTCAAAGTAGGGTAATGCCTGGATGTAAGTTTTGTATTCAATCAGCTTCTCGGTCCCTCGATGTAATAAACCGATGTGCTGTAAAGTGGTGTATTTAGAAAAGGTCGAGCAATGCAATATTGAAGACGTACTGGATCCGCACGTAGGATTTCTTCGCCGTTGAGTTCTAGGATGAGACGGAGAACTCCGTGTGCGGCAGGATGTTGAGGACTGGATGAAGGAGGGAATTTGAGAATATCATACACATTATAAAGGGCTATACGAACCCAAAATTCACTGAAGAGAAAGGATTAGCCACTTATAACAGATTGAATCTCAGGTTCTCACCAGTAAAGTGCCTCATTTTCGCATCTGCCCTAGTTCCTGTCTCTGCCAGAATTTCAGAGGCATGCATCCCTTGCAGATCCTCTACTGTATGGTACTCGAAAATATTTTTGGCGCCTGGAGTGTGAGCAGAGTCAGCTGCAGACACTGGCTCAGCCAGACGTGTAACAGGGGATGAAGTCAAAGAGCGGCGAAGAATATTTGAGCTTGTAGGAAGCTTCGCTACTGTTGAACGCGCGACTGAACGTAACAGCATCGAAGCCATTGCTGCTCAGTGTCAAGAGCGTCGTGGATGGAGTTGGTAAATAAACAGAGTCCGATTGGCTGGCGGCAGCGTTCCGTACCGAGCCGTAGTATTACGGTGTGACAGTCACATAACCGATCTACAGTATGTAGTTGCTACATAGGATAGGATGTGCTAGTGTATGTACTTTTATTGCGACCAAAGACATCAATCGCTCTCTTCTTCTTCGTCCTCCTCCCCCTCCTCTTCTTCTTCATCTTCATCTGCTCCAACACCTCCCCACTCTTCATCCTCAGCGCTCTCATCATCATCTTCTTCTTCCACCTCCTGTCTATCTCGATTCCTCTTCCCAGTAACATTGTCAGTCCCAATTTCGCCTTCGCCGAGCGTCACGCACGTCAAGCGGGTACCCTTAGTATCATAAGTCGCTACTGGTTGTATTTCTTGTATCGAAATCTTCCCAGCATTAAATTCATGTAAATGTCCCAGATCATAAACATTTATTTTCCCATCCGATGAAACGGTCGAGATAATCGTGGTGCTATGGGGATGACGACGAATAGAAGATGTAGGAAGAGTCGAAGGAGGGGGAGATAAGAGGGAGATGTTCAATGTCTGTAAAGCTTTAACTCTAGAAGCAACGAAGTAAGATACTAAACCTGATAAGAGTACGGAAACCTTGCCTGTTCCCATGTCCGACCAACTCTGCGACAATTTTTGGACTACTTTCCTTGTTATCGCCAGAGTCTGATGCGGTTGGTTGTCCAGGGAGGGGTAGAAAATCATATATTGAGACCTTCTTGTCCTCTGCCGATGCAAGTAACACCTGTCCATCATGGTGAGCGCGTTTACAAAACTTGATATCATGTAGCCTCGAAGGATGTGTTATACTATAAAGGAGGGACATGTCCTACGCCCCGTCAGCCAAAACATTGAGAGTTTCTCGCAACTATCGAAAAACATACAGTCCCATAGATATCTATTTCCTTCCCGGACTGAACTGCAAACATCTCCCCATCAGTCGACCAACGAACAATTTCCCCTTCTGCATGAAAATAAGCTTAAACCTTTCTCGCTTGAGATTATAACTACGAACCTTTTCCCAACTTAACACTGGCCACACCCCGCCCCCTCATCATATCCCACATCCTCAGCATTCGATCCTTTCCAACACTGAGTGCAACTTTTCCACTCAGATGCACATCCACACTATTTACGTGACCCTTGTGTCCGCGAAGGGTACGAAGTACGCTCCAATCCCTCGCATGAAAAATTCCTATCGTACCATCCTCGGAAGCGGATACAAGATGAGAACGAGAGGGGAAAAGAAGGGTGGTGATTGAACCTAGAAATTGTTGAAAGGCCAGGATACAAAAAAAGAGAGTATAAGACTGATATACCTTCATGATGCATCAAACCACCGATTTCCTTCTTTCTCTTCAGATCCCACACTTTCACAATTTCATCAGCACTACCTGTCGCCAACCACTTGCCTCCGGGGGATGCAGCGACGGCTTTTATACAGGAAACGTGCGCAGGAAAGATAAATATCGGCTTCAGATGGAATTTCACCTCATCGTTTTCGATAGAGGTAGATCCCTCGAGGCCGTAAAGTAGTTTTTCATACGATCCGGCTACGATTTTAAACGTTGAGGGTAGAACGGCCGAAGATAGATTCTTTACGATATTCTGGTCGGCTTTTTGTTTCCCTTTGTACTGAACAGAAACAGTGGGTTCCTCGTTGCTTGTCTTTGTAGTACGATGTTTAATTTTCCTAGAAACAGAATCTTCAATTCGGGCTTTCTTTGTTGGCCGTACCTCCGCTGTCGTTTTCTTCGTTGCTGGACGTGATTTCGCCACCATAACGGGAGGTCGTAAAGAGGGCAGGTCGGCGCTTAATCATAATTCTCACTTGGCTCCGTAATGCTCATCTGCTTGAGCTCGTTGATCGGCTCCTGGAGCTGTTGTCGATGTGTCTGACCAACCAACCTTCTCTTCGGTTGAGCTTTCTTATGAAGCCAGACCTTTCCCTGACCATATCGCTCACTCTCTTTCGTCTATCAATCGTTTAGATGCCCTCGTAGTGGGTGCAGGCTTTGCAGGTCTTTATCAGCTCTATCGTCTTCGCTCCCTGGGACTTTCCGTGAAGATCTTCGAAGCTTCCTCCGATATCGGTGGGACATGGTGTATGAACCAATACCCAGGTGTCCGCACTGACAGTGAGGCCGAAATATACCAATATGAATTGGAAGAGTTATGGAAGGACTGGATCTGGAAGAAAAAATATCCTTCCGGAGATGAGATCCAAGCTTACTTCCGTTACGTTGACGAGAAACTCGATCTCAAACGCGACATCTACTTTGACACGCGAGTAGTGAGCGCGAAATGGGACGAACCTTCGCGCCTTTGGATCGTGTCCACAGCAAACGGAATCTCTACTCACGTCCAATATTTAATTTTGTGTACAGGGAGTCTCAGTAAACCCCTCATTCCGGATATCAAAAATCTCTCGGATTTCGAAGGCCCTTGTTTCCATACCTCTCGATGGCCTCGAGAAGGCCTTGATCTAACCGGGAAACGCGTCGCTGTTATTGGTACCGGGTCAAGTGGGATCCAAGTCATTGAACACATTGCTTCCCAAGTTCGGCACCTCACAGTATTCCAACGAACTCCTAATTTGGCTTTACCACTGAGCCAAAGCCACTTCCCTGAGGAGGATCAAGCGGAAATGAAGGAAACCGGCCTCTATAATCGTATATTTCGTCGACTTTCTGAGACATTCGGTGGCTTTTTATTCGACTTCCAACCCATTCCCTTTATCTCCGCCACAGCGGAAGAACGGAGGCTACTTTGGGAAAGTCAATGGAAGACAGGCGGTTTCCACTTCTGGTTAGAAAACTACCCAGATATATTCTCCGATGAGGCGGCTAATTCGGAAGCTTATGCTTTTTGGCGAACCAAAGTTACAGAGCGTGTACAAGATCCTGCTTTACACGAAAAGCTGGCCCCCTCCATTCCTCCCCATCCTTTCGGCATAAAACGACCTGGCCTGGAGAAAGCCTACTTTGAAGTCTTTGACCGAGAAAATGTGTCTCTCGTCGACGTGAAAGAGACTCCCATCAAACGAGTTACACCAGACGGCCTGGAACTTCATAGCGGTACCACTCACATATTCGACGTTCTCGTCCTCGCTACAGGGTTCGAGGGTCTTACTGGTGCTATTCTCGATTTGGATATCCGTGGCTCTAACGATATCTCTATCCGTGAAAAATGGAAAAGTGGTGTATGCACGAATATCGGAATGATGACCTCGGATTTTCCAAATTTATTCTTTGTCTACGGACCCCAGGCTCCTTCTCCGCTAGCCAATGCTACTAGTCTTATCGTAAGCCCCCCACCTCTCGTCCATACCGTACCATTCCTAAACCGTACTCCCTAGCCTCAACAAAGCGGTTGGATCGCGAATTGCATCAAGCTTATGCAAGACAACAACTATAGTCGCATTGAAACCAAGCGAGATGCGGAAGAAGTCTGGCGCAATCTCGTCCTCGAGATCGCGTCGAAGAGATTGTGGTATCGAGGCTGAAAGTTCTTGGTACACCGGAAGCAATATGGCTGCCAGCACAAGGCGTACCGAAATGTTGGCCTTTTCTGGAGGATTACCTTCCTATCTCGAAAAGTGCGCGGAAGCTGCAGCTAACGGATACCAAGGATTTAAACTAGATAGATAGATACGCGGCTCCGTCGAGGACAGGGTCCCACAAGGGAACAGCCGGGCCCATCCATCTCCACTGCAACGAATGCTCATCCAACATGGTATGGTAGACTGTAGCAAGAATGGAAGCAATATACTTAGTACAAGATTGGTGTATGTAACAGATACGAATAGGACTGATTCATTCCTCCTCCAGTCGCCGTAGTCACTCTCCAGATCTTCCAAGGAACCGTCCAAACCAAATAAATAATATTGCCAAAGAATCATGACTAGCGGTTGGGACGACTAGGGTTCCAGTCGAAGATGAATAGCCTAAGTTAGTGTAACGCAATGGAATCCGACAGATCTGAGTGAGTTGCGCGGTAGGGGTCGAGACTGTCGCATAACTGAAATGAACTCCGAGCGGAGAAATGTGTTGGAGACGGTTCGCGGCACGTTCATCAAACGTCGCAGTGACTTACTCAGGCGACTGGTCTGGTTCGAGTCTACCTAGTACCTTGGGGGTAACAGTGTGGCTGTAATAGGCTGTAATATTGCAGCGTATTATTTACGAAATTTACATCATAATTTTTGTGCTGCACATAACACCAACACTGCACTGAATATCCATGTGACCCAACCGACCGACACACAAGCGAACTCAAATGTCTTGAGTACCGTCAAGACCTATCACTTTTACTGCTTGTTAGCAAAGATTTTCTCGATCGCAGCGGTGGAGTACGACTTGGGACGTTCGAGAGCTTGGGAAATACATATCAGCGTGGAGAGAGGCACCCAGGATATATATAATGCTTACGAGCACCGAGAGCACGGTCCCAGATAAGTTGAGCAGCAACACCAAACGCACGCGACACACCGAAGAGAACAGTGTAGAATTGCATCTGGGTCAGACCATAATAGGTCAGTAGAACACCAGAGTGTGCATCAACATTGGGCCATGGGTTCTTGGCTTTGCCAGCCTACGAGAAGAAACAAGGTAAGCCTATGATTTGAACACACAAACATCTCCCACCTCTAGCAGAATACCAGGAACGATGTTATAAATTTGACCAACAAGCTTAAACATAGGGTCCTCAGGAAGGTGCTTCAAGGCAAATTCGCGCTGAGCGGTGTATCGCGGGTCAGTCTTGCGGAGGACTGCATGTCCGTATCCAGGGACGACCTGTCCACCTTTGAGAGTGGACCACACGTATTCCTTGACAGCCTCATCACTAGCATTCTCTCCGATTTTGGATTGCATTTTGCGCAACCAGAGCAGAACTTCCTGGTTGGCGAGACCGTGAAGAGGTCCAGCAAGACCGTTCAGAGAGGCACCGAAGGCAAGGAAAGGATCTGAGAGAGCAGAACCGACAAGTTTACCTGTGTGCGCGGAGACATTACCACCTTCATGGTCACTGTGGATGGTGATGTACAAGCGAAGAAGCTCGACAAAGTTTTCGTTGTCACCGAAGCCAAGCAGAGTTGCAAGGTTTTGGGAGTAATCCTTGCTAGGGTCAACGGCAGGAAGCTTGCCCTGACCGAAAACATTTCGATAAATTCGGCCGGCGATGTTAGGGAGTTTGGCGATCCTTGGTTTATGTTAACCATGCCGTCTCAATGACAATGATTTGATACTCACAAGTCCATCGAATCCTCAAAAGTGGGACCCCAGTAATCCTTCTTCGAGATACCGTCCTGGTATGCTTTAGCAAAAGCGGAGTTGTGGTTTAACTAAAAACAACAACGAATCAGAAGGATGATATGAATGAAAGAATTAGTGCTCACAGCAGTGACAGCCAGACTAAACTGGCTCATGGGATGAAGGGTAGGAGGGCATCGGTCTAAAATTTCTTCGACAAAAGAAGGAATAGCAGCACGGGCAGCCCAGTCCTTGGATAACTCGGTAACCTGCTCTTGTGTAGGCACCTCACCGGTAAGAAGAAGCCAGAAGAGACCCTCCGGAAGCGGTTCGGAACCACCGGGAGCTTTTGGGAGAAGTTCTTGACATTCAGGGATAGTTTTTCCACGGAACCGGATACCTTCGTCTGAAGACAGAATGCGTCAGAAGTAAACGTCATGAAAGACGAATTATAGACGCACCGGCATCGAGAACTGAACCATCCCATATAAGAGCCGGAAGACCACGCATACCACTGCATAGCACTTGAGTACAATGTTCCGAGCAACAATAGACCCTTACCCATATAGCTGGTCAACTTTGACTTCACCAAAAGATTTTGAACCATGCTGAGCGCGGACTGCTTTGACCTAGACGACGCGCCAAATGTTGAACCCCACTGCGTTCCGAAAGGAGTCCCAGTTGCTTACATGCTCTAGTTGCTGAGGTATCAGCTGGGCCAACCTTTCTTTCAAGGCCGAGTTTTTAGCAGCCGTCGTGGAAAACTGGGAGCTTCGAGCCCAAGCAGCTCGGGATTTGGACTGGTAGAAATGTAAGCCAAAGCCATACAGTACAAGAAAAGAGACTGACAGCATTCAAGATTGAGCGTGAGGACAGAGAGGAAGCCATTGTAGAAGGTGGTGGTTAGGAAGAAAGTGTAAATGTCGATGTTTACCGACAAAATGTATTATCCCGAAAAACTCCGAAATTTCGGAGAAGGGTAATTGATCGGCGCTTGAGTGGCCCTTGTCTTTAACTATTAGCCATCGATATGGGAAAGAGAAAACGCGTAGCGGTGGACCAGACTGCTCAAGATGAGGGCCAAAAACTTCTACCTCAAGTATGTTCCCTTCCAATCCTTCCAATCCTTCCTTTCCGCCCTTAACTTCCTTCTGCCTTAGAAACGGTTTTACCGCCAGCGAGCACATGCAAACCCCTTCTCAGATCATACCCTCGATTATCCCAAATCACCTCAACACATGGACTGGAATGCACATTACCCAGGAGCAGCTCCAGGTAAAAGACCAGAGTTTGCAGACATTGGATGCGGCTTCGGTGGACTTTCGATGACCTTGGCTCCATTGTTCCCTGATAGTTTAATACTCGGTATGATTTCTATACTCGGGTTTGAAGTTCGTCTGATTCATTTAGGCATGGAAATCCGAGTGCAAGTATCGCAATATGTTCAAGATCGTATTACTGCCCTACGCACTGCGAATCATGGTGATCCAACAGCACATTATCAAAACGTTTCGATCGTTCGCGCCAACGCCATGAAATTCCTTCCCAATTATTTCGCAAAGGCATCCCTTTCTGCGCTTTTTTTCCTCTTTCCTGATCCACATTTTAAAGCGCGGAAACATAAAGCACGCATCATTTCTCCGACCCTATTGGCCGAATACGCTTTTATTCTTCGTCCAGGTGGGATTGTATACACCATCACAGACGTCAAAGATCTGCATGATTGGATGAGAACGCATCTCGAAAACTTCCCTCTGTTTGACACCGTATCAGAAGAGCAATTACGTGCTGAGGGTAAAGGCGACATAGTGGATGCGGTATACACAAGTACGGAGGAAGGGAAAAAAGTCGAGAGAAACAAGGGTGAAAAATGGCTAGCTTGCTTTCGAAGAATAGAGGTGGCTCGAATCTAATATTCGTTATCTCCTACGTCTGCTCCGGTTGAAGGTCGACCAACCGACTGCATTGAAGCCACCAACTGCTCTGTTCTGTCCTTGACAGCCCTCCTCATCTCTCTGTGAATTACTGTACCAGCTTCTCCTGCCAGCCTGAAAATCTCTTCAAAACGATCAACGTGTAATCGGGTCTCCATTGACACCAAGGTGATTTTTCCTGACCGAGGCATGACAGCGACGGTAACATTTGGTAGGTCGTTTTCCTCGAGGAGAGTAAGATCAAGAAGCGCAGACGTTGAATGCACACCCCCGGTGACAGCGCAGACAAAGTCGTACATGGGAATGCCGGCGTTCGCAAGTGCAAGGGTAGTGGCATTTACACAGGCTTGAAGTAGACCACCGTCTTGCTGTAGAACTTGAATGTAAATGTCGATTTGTGAGCGAGGGTATAGCGAAGTTTGAATAACTGGTTCGAACGTTGACTTGAGAGTTTGAGAAAGTTCAAGAATCCGTCTGCAAAGAACGGTCATAGATAAAATTGAAAAAATCCAAGCAATACATACTTGTCTCCTCTGCCTCTTTTTCTTCTCTCACTTGCGCTGAAAGCAGCGATGGCAACCTCGATATTGACGTTGGCTCGATCATGATAAGTCTGGGACCGCATTTTTGCTTCACGGGGACCAAATACGCAGACATTGACTTGTGTTAGGCCATGCGTAAGGCTGGCAGAACCGTCAGCACCGGAACCTTGGGGTGAAAGGTCAATGGAGATTGTCCGTAATTCATATTGGCGACGTCCATCGGATCGATAACCACCAGTGTTCAATATTTCTATTCGAGAGCTCTTGGGACAGGTTGAGCTATAGAGGAAAGCAAAAACGCCAGTGACTGACCATCGGAGGAATCGGAGGAGTCTGAGAGTGTGAGTAACAAGCGGTCCGCGCTCATGAAGTCTACCCTAGTCTACCCAAAATATACATATCCTTAACTCCTTTTACTTCCAACCCTCCAAATCATATATATAACATTCTTTATTAGTCCTAGTTTCTCTCCCTCACCCACCATGACTCTGCCTATCCCCCAGTCAATCCTCGACACTGATCTGTACAAGGCTCGTATATGCATTTTCCTCTACAACACCGTCCTAATTTGTTACCCTTAATTCAGTTTACTATGCAGAATGCAGTGTTGGAAAACTTTCCAGATGTACAAGCCATATATCGGTTCACCAATCGCAACAAGGACACAACGCTATTCACCCGAGAATGTTTTGAACGCTTGCAGACCGCAGTATCTCGTCAGTGATGTTATCGTAGACCGGATGGCGCCATCACCTCATATCCTGCTATAGATTTTGATCAAGTCAAACTCACCCCCGCCGAACGCGTTTGGCTCGCTAAAACTTGTCCCTACTTTCCTCCGCAATACCTCGACTATTTGGAGAACTATCGTTTCAAACCCGAACAAGTTCATATCGAATTCGTCCCAGTCAATGGCGATAAAGGTCACATAGAGATGACTGCGGAAGGGCCCTGGGTTGAGACGATCCTATGGGAAGTTCCTCTCATGGCTTGCCTCAGTGAAACATACTTTACCACCGTCGATAATGATTGGTCTTATGACGGACAAGAGGGTACGTTCAAATTTCGTCGTGTCTGTGCCGATGACCTACATCATTCTCTCTCAAGATCTGGCATACCAGAAAGGCAAAGCACTACTTGAGGCTGGCTGCGTATTCAGCGAATTTGGAACGCGCCGTAGACGGTCCTTTCACACCCAGGATTTCGTCGTAAGAGCTCTTATAAAGGCGACTCAAGATCTCCCCAACTCCGGGAAGCTGACTGGCACCAGCAATGTGATACAGATCTCCGTTGCCCATGTACAGCTTGCTAATCCTGTGATCAGGTCTTCCTAGCTCATAAATACGGTATTAACCCAGTTGGTACGGTCGCACAGTGAGCTCAAGCGCCTTTCCTTTCTAAAATATCTTTCTCATTGCGTTTTGAAGTGAGTGGTTTATGGGTGTAAGTCCTCGTTCCGCAATATAGCGAATCAATAGCTTGACATGAATACTTTTCAGATCGGAGCTCTCAAAGGCTACGAGTCCGTCAATGACCTTGCTCTTGAAATTTGGGAAACCACATATCCCAACGCCATATTGTTAGCTTTAACAGACACATTCTCCACCACCGCATTCTTCCAGGTATTGTATCTACATTCTCGGCTTCTCACACTGCTTACCCTTCCTTACCTAGACCTTCTCCAAAAACCCAGCTCGTGCAAAGAAATGGCACGGACTTCGCCAGGACTCTGGCGATCCTCTAGAGTTCGCCCCACGGGCGAAGGAAGTTTACGTTAAAATGGGCATCGATCACAGAGAAAAAATGATAATTTATTCTGACTCTTTAAATCTCGACAAGGCTTTGACCCTCAAGAAACAAGCCGACGAGATTGGTTTCAAAGGCGAGTCGATCTATCTCTAGCACTGTTAACAAATCTTAACTAACCGTATTCTCAGCCTCCTTTGGCATCGGTACATTTTTATCCAACGACTTCGTCAAGGTTTCCGACCCCAAGAGCAAGAGTCCGGCTCTTAATATGGTCATTAAGCTTGCCGAAGTTAATAGTAAATCCTGCGTCAAAATCAGTGACGACCTTAGAAAGGCAAGTCAATAACACCTTTATCTAACGTCATGTTTTGTTCTAACGAGATGTCATCGTAGAACACCGGTAATCAAGAAGTGGTAAAAGATGTGAAGAAATTGTTTGGATTACCTGTAAATTGACGATTTGAAGAACATTAGAACCATATAGACTTATATCATTGTATGATAATAATACGAATAGTAGAAATTGGTAGACCGTAAAACATTCTCAATGACGGCAGATGAACGGTCACATCACCTGTTAATCCAATTCCAACCCCAAACTCCCCACACACCCAATAAGCCCAACAATCTGTCAAGCGACAGTCGTTCACCACGACTGATCCGATTGCTATACATTGCCAGTGCGATAGCAATGACTAACACCGCACCCGCACCCGCGCTGAGTACTAATTCAGGACGACGTAGCACCCTACCGTCCCCGAACCTTGTTCTTCGCTTCGTGGAATCACCGGGAATATCCTTTTCACCTTCACCATCATCTTCCCCGTCCTCGTCCTCGTTTGAGGACGGATCCCAGGGATAGACTATTCTCGAAGTGTCACGAACCATTAGTTCTGCGTCAGTATCGGAAGGTAGCTTGGCAGGGTCCTCAGACCACGTATAGACAACACTGGAAGGACCCATTATGGAGGATAAGACAGGTGCGAGAGAAGAATCCGATGAGTTTATGGGGGATGAGGAGTTATTTGGAGTGACATTAGGACTGTTGGACAGAGAGACGGAAGAAGACATGTTGGTCAATTCTTGCAAGTAGCCTTGATAGGGTGGATATGCCGCCAGTAGTCTGTCTGCATCGCGAAGAAGAACAGATAACGGTATAGGCAATTTTTTGGCTTTCTTCGACGAATCAAAATCGTCAACGTGAGATTGTGTCTCAAATGAGGGAGAACCGGACAAATTATCTCGGGTGGGTAAAGTTGTTGCGTGAGATGAACTTGATGGAGTATGTATCGAAAACGATGAGGATGACGGTGAAGAGGATACGGACTGGAGAGGGGGATTTGATTGTGGTAGTGATTGTGAATCTAGTGGAAGGGGATCAGATGCAGACGCTGGACGAGGCGATGATGGTGGAAGTGATAATATTCCAGATCGACCCGGTGAAGAACTGAAAGACGCCACGAAGTCCAGCAACTTCAATGGCTCTTCATCTGCATCAACATCACTATTGAGCACTGTTTCCGTGTCCTCGTAGTACTCGGACTCTGCGATTGTGTCGGTATCGTCATCGTCTGCAACAACAGAGTTGCAAGATGATTTTTCCATTTCCATTTCTGCGCCCGAAGCAGAAGGTGAAGGATCCGGTGAGGGACCCCTGCAGTTTTCAGCGTCGCCAGCTTCAGCCTGGTGCTCTTGTCTAAATTCTGCCGCGACTTCTTCTGGTATTGCTTCATCGCTCACCTGTGGCAAAGTCCCAAGTAAGGAGTGTAGCATGCCAAGGTCACCATCTTCATCCTCCTCAAGGGCCAATAGTTCATCTCTCCTTGCGAGGATCACTGCACCAGTGAGATACACGAGGGCGATAGGTGGTCTAGCCAACAGGTAATCAAAGACATGCTGTATCACCGGCAATGTTGGGATGTCGTGTGCGAACATTGTCAGCAAATGGCTCAATGCGAAATATGGCAACGGAGCAGCACATTTGAGTAATTTGGCCAGCTCGACATCGACCGCAGCAATGAGCTTTGCAAGAAACCGCAATAATCCGAGGACAGGTTCTAGCCCGTCGCCCATGGCGTCGCGTGTCCGGTGCAAGCTCACTCTCTCTGCACATGGAAGGTGGAGGGGAGATGGAAGAGTAAGGAACAGGACGGTAATGATGTCGTGGTAGCCCTGAAAATAGGACAACGATGGATGTCTCCGGAATAATGTCACAAGGAGTTTATTTAAGCTCTCTTGGAGACAATGTACATCACCGTCTGGATACATAACGAAGCTTCGGTCAGTGTCCAAGCGAATTTGTGGCTCGTCAGCGTGCACCGGCAAAGTTTCGATGTCTGATACCGTCGCTTCGGTATCAATATCACTATCATCGACATTGAGCAGCTTGGACCAGTAATGAACTCTGTCCTTTCCAAATCCCCCAGGCTCTAAACTCTTCCGTCTTGCCTCTTGCCAAAATGTTTTGTCATAATCCATACAAGTTGATGCGACGGCGAAGGTGAAGGATTTAGCTTTAAGTGGCGCCTGGGAATTTTCTTGTAACCGGCACGTTGTGGAGACCCTATCTTTACACCGGACCTCATTAAAGCATTCCAGTCTGTCCAGCAACTGTCAGTTATTCGACCAACATCTCCCTTGAGGATCCACAGGGCTCATCGTACAATCTTCTTGCTTAATTCGGTTCATAATTTTCTCTTTCAGACTTGACTTTCACCTTCGACAATACTTGCAGCAGCCATGAAGTATATCGAATTACCCTCTCTTACTGCATTGGCATCTTCACTTTCGCACCAAGGCTCCGAATGCAACGTTTCTGTTAGACTCGAGGCCTATTCGTGCAAGAATATCAAGCGTGATAAACGGCTCTTCAGAGATTTGGAAAAGGTTTACTGGGACGACATGGGTGTATTGGAGACAATGAAGTTTGACCCCGGAGAAGAACATTCAAAGTCTTCACCAGCAGAAGGATCGTCTTCCCATACATTACCCCACTCGTACCTTGCGCAGGCTCATTCATCGCTTTCGACCCCTTTTGGACCGCTCGGCTCACCGCAGTCCAGAAAAACTCTCTATCTCCTCATTTCCACGCTCAATGTGGCATTTCCTGACTACATTTTCGATTCAGTAAAGCCTTCGTCATTTGTTCACCTCGAATCAGGGGCACAAATACTCAACGCACTAAGCACCACATTACTCGCCAGCCAGACTTCGGTGCGGTCTCATACTTCTCGCCACAATTCGGGTTATGCCTCCATGGCTTACGGCGCGTATCCTGCTGCGCAGGGCCTAGGTTTCGGTGTTGCTCAAGGTAGTCCGGGTAGTCCCTACGAATTTGTTAAGGAAAGTCCTTGCGCTCCGTCCAGTGTCATCTCTGGTACCCATCCCGAAGTCTATGCGCTTCTTGACGATGTCATCGGCCCTCTTGATGAATGCGAGGTTTTCGAGTACGTCCCAGAGCCAGAAGAGGATCCGAATGCTGGAGAGGGAGAGGAAGAAGGCGACGAGGATTTTGAAGACGAGTTCGAAGGATATTCACCTGACGAAGTACATGTGTTTACTTTGGATGAAGATATAAACACCCAATCATATAATCAGCCCCATTCTACACTCTCTACTCCTGTTACTCCGCGGGATGCGGTTCTATCCACCTCTGCCAATCCTATATCTCCTTTCGATGAATCATACCGGCCGCTGTCACCGACTCGCTTGACTCTTCGTACACCCTCGCGTTCTAGCTCTTCAATTTTACCTTCATCCTACCCACCTATGCATCCGACCTCGTCCAGTGGTGGTAATACACTTCTCTGGTCGTCGCACTGGTTCTTCCTCAATCGCAAGCAGAAACGGATACTATATGTAACTGTGTGGGCCAGAAAGCGTTCCATGGATTCCATGCCCGAGACGCCTGTAGACGAGGAGTTGTTTGTCTACGGGAGCGAACCCACTCATCAACTTTATGCATCTGTTGCTAGACGCAACAGACGAATACGCAAATTTTCGGAATCGGATGAAAGCGACGTTAGTCCTGTGTCGATGAGATTCCCGACTGCAGGCAAAGAGCGCTTCTTAGGTTGGGAAGGGGCGGCTGGTGCAGGCGCAAGAGCTTTGGGACTCGTTGTATAGTTGGACGGTGACGTTGTGATTTTGGTCTAGGTTTAGTACGGGAATCAGTAAGGTATGTGTTCTCCTTTCAATCATCTTTCCCAACGTAATTACTTCCTGAATAGCGGACTCGAAGGGCCCTCCGGCACTCAACACGAGTCAAAAGCAGCTCAATGAGTTTGTTGCGTTTACTGGTGATTTCGTGTTCGCGCTTGCATCCAAGAGAAGTCTCCACGCACACTGTATATGTCTTCTTTCTCGCTGTCTCTCGCTCTCGCTTATGTCGTCTTCTGGTGGTCTCGGGCTCTTGCTTGACCTCACTCGTGTATAGTAGTTTGTATATCTCTTTTGGCCAGAGAGTCATTGTATGTTCTGAGTTATGAATGTTGTAGTAGTACTCACCTTTCGTGTTATCGTCTCCAAAGTTGAACTTTTTCCCATAGCTGTATCGTACTCTTTCACTTCTATTATATACTCCACCTCATTTCTACTGACCTCTTTAGAGTGGATTCCATCTTGAACATCATTGTCATGTAGTAGCGAAGTCGAGCTAGGTGATTTGCATGAGTAACAGTGACGAGACGATGTGGAAGTCAAACCGGACACTTGAGCCGGTGTTGATAGCGCAGCAAAAAGGCTTCAAATACTCAGCATCAGGTTGAGGAAAAAAACAGAAAAAGACGCATCCTTCGCTTCATAAATTTTCCGCACTACATCAGTTACCTACATACGTGGCACAAGTGACCGCGTAGAGTGACAATACACACTGATCCATACTGTGTCAGAAAGCGGGAAGAGAGAAAAATACTGGTATTCTCAACCACGACATAGAGATACAGATGGGAGAAAGAAATATGGAATAAAATAAGACATGGATTATTACCGTGTGCATACTTGCCTGTCCAGTAATACATGATGTCCATTGATGAAAATGAACATACTTACTTCGGAAAGGCTTTAGAAACAGAGAAGAAAAGTGAGCCCACCAGAGATGATACTCAACCTGAGAATACAACTGTAATAACGCGTAAGTAAAGCAGGGAAAAGCTAAAAAAGGATATATCTGAAACCAAAGCGATTTCGATACCCATATCCTCGTTTAATATCGGGGACGCTTGGAATCTCTGTCATCGTATCCGCCGGGACCATCACTTCTCTTAAGGTCGCCACGATACCCACCTCCGAACCCACCTGCAGGTGGGCCGAATCCTCCGTTATTTGGCGGACCATTGAAACCAGGACCACCTGGAGGACCGAAGCCATTTGACGGTGGTGGCCCGTCGAATCCACCGCCGTTATACCCAACACCTCCGCCACGGCCGCCCCTGTGGAAAATTAGAATGCAAAACGTTACGAAATAAAACCAGATCAATACCTGAATCCACCGCCACCACCACCGCCTCCGAAGTCTCGACCACGGTAGCCACCGTCCATGCCTCCGCCGAACCCACCTCGAAATCCACCACCGCCACCACCATTCCGGTCACCAAATCCTCCACTTCGGTCACCAAATCCACCCCGGTCACCAAAGCCTCCTCCGCGGAATCCTCCCCGGCCACCTCGAAATCCACCACGCGGACCGCCTCTGTCTCCGCCACCACCGAATCCTCCTCCTCGGAAACCTCCACCTCCGCCTGGTCTCGGAGGCGCGGCCGCAACCACTGTTGGCTCGACCCGTTTCGGACGACCACCAAGTCCTCCACCAAGTCTTCTAGGCTTCCACCCGCGGACCGTTCTACCACGTTCAACGTCGACCAAAATTCGTTTTCCCATTATTTGGACACCATCGGATTCTTTATAGGCAGCTGAAAATTGCAACATGGATGGATGAGGAGGAAAAAATGGTAGATAAAGAAACAAACCCTTCATATCACGTTCACGTTCGTATACTACAAACGCATACCCTCGACTTCGATTTTTCTTGTCACGGACAATCCTTACTCTTTCAATGGTCCCGTATGTCTCGAATTCACGTCGAAGGTCATTTTCTGTTGCACTTTTATGCTACGAAAGGTTAAGAAGTCAATACCTTTACTTTTTCCCCGAAGAAACACAACTACGCACGAGCCGGGAAATAAAAAGAGTTTTATAAGGATCTCCAGCAGCCTCTGGGTCGTCTGCTGGTTTGTCTATGATTCACGAAAGTGAGAAACGAAAAACAGGACACCGGTGATGATCAAAATCGCACATGTTTCCTTCGCAATTTTAAACTCGTCTGTTCTCCGTTTCTTCCGCTCTTCTCGTCGTATTTGCCGTTTCACATCTTCCGCGAGAGTAAAGGCAGGTTCTTCGCCTTCTTCCATAGATTCCGCGCTTCCAGCAACGAGATTTTCAGTTGCAGTTTCCTTCAACTGGCTTATTATGGAACCGACACCAGATACTGTTTTCGCCCTGACACGGTTGATATCCTTGTCTATGGGACGAATATAAGGCAATGGCGGCCTCGGAGCGAAAAGTTTGAGAAGATTTGGGGGGAGAAGATGCGTGCCAGGCATTGTTACTATGGAGGGATTTGGTTGGGAGAGGAGGAAAACGAAAAAACGCCAACCGGCAAACACTGCCACTGCCGGTTCGGATCCCGCCATGGCTTGACTCCGGCTTGACTCCGGCTTGACTTAAATGTCATAGCATAATCAGTCTTCACTCTCACCGCAACCATCAACGTTCAACCAATCTCAACCATGACTGCCACTAATTTCGAAGCCGACGCTCTTCTCGCTCATGTCGTATCTCAGGTCCAACAGAACGTAGAATTCCTTGTATCACACGACTATTTGGCTCAATCAGACGCCTCTGCCTTTCTAAGCAAATTGGGCAATGTTCGCGCAGGAGCTGCGCCTGGACCTGCTATGCCTACACCTTCGCCTTTTGCACGGAGATCTCCCGCAGTCATATCCCCTCAGCCTGTCATGGCTAAGGCAATTTGGGGATACAACGAAGATGGCGCTGTTAGTATCTCCCTCGCATTAAACCCCTTAATGATACTCACTATTTTTTGAAGGATGCCGCTGACCTTTCTTTTGCTGCTGGTGACATGATTGAAATCTTGGAAGAAACAAATTCAGATTGGTGGACTGGAAAAATAAATGGGCGTCAAGCACTTTTTCCTTCATCATATGTCGAAAAGGTTGTTGCACATGCGCCCATTGCCGCTGCCATGCCTACACCTATCCCTTCTACTGGTGGTAGATCACTACCACCTGCATTCAATGGTGCCAAGGAAAAACCTGTCTATAAACCATTCGGCGCTGCACATCAAAGCGCCAATGCTCCTCCCCCACCGGACGCAGGGGTAAATAACGTAGGTTTGCAGGAGGATGCTGGTCAGGAAAAGAAGAAGAGCAAGTTCGGCAAGTACGGAAACACTATGGCACATTCAGCTGCTGGTGGTGTTGGATTTGGCGCTGGTAAGTTGGTGATCTCTGTCACTCATTTCCAATCGCTTGATTCATCGCAGGTGCCGCTATTGGTGGTGGTCTCGTCCGAGCAATATTTTGATTTATCCGTCTTGTTTTCTTCAGCACCGAGATTTTGACTGGATATTTATTGGTATATATATCGGGAATTGGAATTGCAGCAATGGATACTACGATTTACTACCATGCTATCAGAAATTCTTGTGTTTGAACGATCGAAGAGAATAAGGTCCTCCCTCCTTGGACTCACACTACACTGCAGTTTCTGAAAGGCAGAATCATTAACCTCTCGATTTTGAGTCGAAGTGCTTACAGTAGTACTTCACCGACTCTGAAGGAGGAGGTCCTTGTAGGTTTCAAACGGCCTTGTTTTTCAAGATCATTCTGCAAATATATTGAGCCGTAATATGGGTTGAGTATGATGTCAGGAGTCTGATGATCATTGGTTGTATACCTGTTACGGTAGTGGAGCCGTAGATTCGTTTTGCTTGGTAAATTGTCATGTGGCATTGGCAGTAATTTTACGAGGCTGTAGTTTACGGAAGACTCGTCCTTATGTAGGTCGCGTCATGCTATTTCGCTTTGCTTACTTGGAAGGAGTTTCTCCATATATGGTACTCAGTCACATTCTGTTGGAATACATTCATTTAAATGTGACCGGCACGGGATATCACGGGACTGTCACCCTCTGTCACGATTACTTTTTCTCGTCTCATTCGGTTACACCCTGTTACTCCATAGATAGTTTAAGTAAATTTACTTTTATTCTGCTTTTCTCAGAAAATCAATGTCGGCGCCTGAAAGGCGCCCCTGTTTTTTGATTCCATAATATTCAATTAATATTTAATAACCCATAAGGAGGGAGCCGAGTTTTTGCCATGCACGGTGGTGCAGTGGCCTACAATCGCATGTTTGTTTGATGATAGAAGCATTCACCAACTGTGAAAGAGGAGGATTCAAATGGCCGTGTTTTGTGAGATTATTTTGCAAGAGGAGCTGTATGATACATAGGTGTAACTGTTTGAACCAATTTGGTGGCAGTGTGTGTAGCTACTTTTTTTATTGTGTTGTATGGTTTAACTTTAGGTATATAGATGGTGCACATGGTTTAATGATATTGTTGCCTTTTTGGGTGCCAGTGAATACTACAGTATGCATTTGTAGTGTGTTTCTATATATGTGTCATGCTCTGACCTACCTTCATGCCCTAACCTACCTCCCTTTACTCTTATCCAACCTTGGAGAGACCCCCTCGTTCTCTCTACTTCATCACGGGACCTCCTCCATAAGCTCCCCTGCCTTACCTCGACTTCGATAACTCACCACACCTCCCAGGATACAAGCATGCACAGACTTAACCCCTTTCGGGCCAGGACCTTCCCATTGCAGCAACCCCATTAGTACCTAAGCTTGATCATTTACCTTACACATACCAGATCCCCTGATGCTCCCTTGTTAACTTCTCCGTACCTATTTAAGCAGTCCTGTAGTGTCCCAAACACCAGCTTGGTATATTTTGAACACACACCCTTTTACATAGGTCCAGTCTCTGCTAACTATACAGATTTTCTCTCTACTCTCTGTTTCATTATCTCAGTCTCTCTACTTCTGTTTCTCATCTACACGATCTAATATACACTTCTACTTCATGTCTAAGCAATCTGAGTGAGTTTTCAAGCTCCCCAAACATCTATCGTTTCGGTGAGCCAACCTCCCTAGTTGCTCCATGAGCTCTGGACCTTGACTTAGGTAATGTCGAAGCTCCCCCTTACGTCCAACTATGTGCCGCTTCTCCATTACCACCCCCACCACTTGAGGACGCCAACTGCTACCCCCCACTTCCCAGGCTCACACTCTATTGGGAGCTCTCATGTCTGAAGCTCACACCATCTACTAGCTATAATGATCCTACGTTGACGTTCCTAGCTATTACAATTCATACTATGCAACACTCCTATGTCCCCTAGCTCCCAGTTATCTTTATCTCCACTGGTTATCATCCTAGAGACCTCCCTGGACCTTCTAGGAACCCCTTCAAGGGTCACATCTCACAATCAGAACTACTACTAGGTCATTCCTGTCCTTAGTCGCAGTTCCTGTAGCTCCCTTTGAGCTACAGCTTGCTCCTAGCACACTACAACATAAACCTCTCATACCAAATCCACCCTTAAGACCAATTCTGACCCAGGTCTTACAATATGTCAGTGTTGAAGTACTATAATAATACAGTGAAATCATTAATATTGTGATCTTGTGTAAATGGAATCATTACAGTGAACTGTTGCATTTTTATGCAATTCTGTTCCACTCTGGGGTGTCAGCCATACTTGTGTAAACTTACTTTACATGCATTGTCATCATTGGAATTTGGCAGCTGAAACATGCTGTAGTAGTGGAAAGTGAGCATTGTTAGAATTTGCGACTAATAGTGCTGCAAGTTATGGTGGAGCTTGTGGTGTGTATTCAAGTTCTCGACCTGACTTGTCCCCCATCTGCTCATTGCTCCAATTATCTCATCCTTCTCAATGTCTAACTACCTCATCCAAATGTTACTGTAAAAATGGAGTTTGTTTAGAATCTGTTTTTTGCATTACTTTTGTGCTATTGAGACATCTACTTGCTGCAAGTGTGCATATCATTAAAAATTGTACCTAAGCTCACTATCCATATCTTTGTATCCTATTGGCAAGTCAGGCAATCCAGCCAAGGTCAGTGCCTCGGAACGAGGCCCTTTCCCAGTTTTAGTTTACCTTATACATCAGAGACCATTCAGAGTCGGGGATTGCCGTGCCAGCACGGCGCTAAGGATACTGTAACCCTTTATCATTGCGGAATTAGCCGTTCTATAGGTGAAATTAGACGCGCGCTCATTTTAACCACTGTATCAGCAATGCTCACATTATGGTGTTGGACAGTGTTGCTGTATTTTTTCACGCCTGTCTACTCAGCCGCAACGACCAATGACAAAGAATGCACGGTTCACTCTGATGATGGAAGATATTATGATCTCAGTCCATTGAGCGCAAGGTACGCGACGTTATTGAAATAACAACGTTTATGTTTATACCAATGGAATTATTTATTTTCGTATGTAGCAAGGACTACGAATTCAAAACTGACCAAGGGCACAAAATTGTCATGAACGTATGCAAGGCGATCTCCTACGAAAGCTGGGGCTCAGATATTCCCAATACTTCCAAGGTGGGCGGAATCATCGAGAAAGAACGCGGCAGCTTTTCGATTGGGTACGTGCGTGATACTGATCCTGGTTATGTCCAATATTCACATAAATTTCAATCAGTGAAAAGAACACTACACTTGTGTTGTCCTCTGGCGCAAACCCGAAGATTGTTATGGAAAACGGTTCTCGCTGCAAATCCGAAAACGGCCAGTCCAAGAATGATAGGGCAGGAACTATAGTCGAATTTATCTGCGATACATCAGTGTATGGCTCTGGGACCCCGCGACTCACTGCCCAATGGCCTCCTCATAACGATGAATTGGCTTGCGTGTTCTTCGTTGAATGGAGAACGCATGTGCGTACTAACTCAAAGCAGATCATCCGTATCCGTGCTAAATTATGAATTTGGAACCGCAGTATGCTTGTCCAACTGGTGAAAGTGGTGGTCCTTGGGGATTCTTTGCGGTTTTTGCAATCTTGTGAGTATGCGAAATCTGTCGGTCTAGGGAAATGACTCAAAATTTTGTAGGGTGACGCTCCTCGTAATGCTATACATAGTCTTTGGAACTCTTTACAACCGTTACGTTCTTCAACTACGTGGATTTGACCAGATACCGCAGTTCTCCATTGAGGCCATGAAGTATCATGGCCGAGAAGCTTTAGGCTGGTTCCGTGATATAATGGGGCAACTATATGAAGGAGGCCAAGGAAGTGGATGGGGAAGCAATGTACCACGCACCTGGGGCGGGCGTACAAACCCTAACACCGGATTTGGTGTCGGCAGTCAACTTCCTCCTGGTCGAGCTAACCCTCGCGCCAACACTCGAAGCGGTGCAACGACGAATTCTTTCAGTCACCAAGCTCAAGTTGACATTGGTGGTGGTGGAGAGTCAACTAATGTCGTTGATGTACCTGGCGGGGGAGTGGGTGGTTTCATGAGGCCAAACTCGGGCACGAATACGACAAACAAGCAAAATCAAACAAAATCTACTCAGCCACCCGCACCCCTACCAATATCACCCGCACCTGTGATGGTGAAGAAATACGAGCCAGGTTCTTCTACAGCAGAAGAAAGAACGTTCATGTTAGGTGATGATGAAGAAGAAGAAGACGTGATTGCTACTCCGATGACCGCAGCGGCTCGTATGTTTTCGCCCATTTCTCTTGTGGCTATAAGTGCTTATTTTTTGTCCAACAGCTCCCGCTCATCCTTCAGAAGACAATACTAATCCTCCAGCTGCGTCAGAATCTGCAGCTCAACCTCGTGGGCGAGATTTAGGCGAAGAGGGTACTATTCGGCTATAGCTTTCTATACCTTTTGTATTTCTTACTATTTACTGAACCCGGTGAAGAGGCAAAGCAGTGTTACCATATGAGGCGATGGCTGTGCTCTATCACCGCCACAGCATGAGATGACATCAACTGCGTAGAAACTCGACTTTGTACACGGTGGATTTCTCATTCCTAAGTACTGCGGTCGCTTGCTCTCAACAGCTTTTCGGCTCCTTAATTATCCTTCTATCTCATCCGCTCATCCGAAGCTTCTTTTTGGTGCATAAACGGACAACGCCCATACGACCCAACAACGACGACTATATATCAAAACTTGTAACAAACGTACCTACAAACCTACCTAACTTCCGCCTAATTCCGTCACGCGAACCTCGACATGGACTTTCTCGACAGTTTAAAGGACGGAATCAAGAAAATGACACCTGGCTCGTCCAATAAGGCACCGGCAGGATTTGGAGGAGCAGGAGGGATTAGCAGCTCTGGAGCCTTGGGCTTTGAAGATGATGTGAGTCCCTTATACTCTTTAGTTCTTCCTCCACTTTGCTATGTCCTCTCTCGGACTCTCTGCGCCCGTCTACTGCTTGCGCAATCGCTCGGGCATGGGGCTTCTTATCCTCGCCGTCTCCACCTGATTTCCGTGATAACGTAATCAATGTTCACTTTCTCTTTGACTGTGAACGTTGTGAACAACCACTATTTGCTGCGGGCTTGCAGTGAAGCGCGTGGTGGATGACAGATTCGGGCACGCTCATTTTTCTGCTCTTCATCCCCGTTGGTTGGGTTCTGTGGTTATGGGTTGGTGTCGGATGCTTTTTCACCCTTCCATTTCGTGATTTGTATCAAACGCGTTGTACTAATCATCTATGCCTAGATGATCATCTCAAAACCAGCTATAGTGTTTCATGTCTCCCAAATATTCTTCAATTTTCTCGCTATGGCATGTTTCGCCAGTGTCGCTGCATTTCAAGCGAAATGGGGTGTAGGGCCATGTACGTCTACATGATCCTTCGTACTTCTTGTCACACATTTACGCGTCGTTTATCATAGCTGGCCTCTCTGGATTCACGCTCTTCATCACAATCTTAGGCATGCTTCTTTCGGCATTTATGCTTGTGATCCCTGTTCTATACGAAAAGTACGACAAATTTGTGCGAGTCGCCCGCGCGCTGAAGGAAGTCCGAGTCGGCTTCATATTGACTGCAACAGGTTCCATCGCGAGCTTGCTGATTGCGCAAGTCTAATCTACACCTGTTTGAAACCAATGCACTCATCTTTGACACAGCTTTATTGTAACCATTTCTGCGTGGACGGAACCTGGATGCAAAAATCCTGACAACGACCCTCATGCTGACAAAGGTGATGCTTTCAAGTCTGGGCTGTCTGGATGGTGTAGTACGAAGAAAGCAGCCGCAATATTCCTGTGGCTCGCGTTTGGTACGTCTTCTCAAGCCATGCTTGCCCGTTCTTCCAATCAAATTCTTCCACCTAGTGTTTTGGGCAGCATCGGTTATTCTCTTGATAATAAATTGGCGTCAGGGAAAGTTACTTGGTCCCCGCGATCCCCCCTTCCAACACCCTGCTGATGAAGAATACCATATGGGACAAACACAAGATGAGGATGAGGATGATGGGTTTACTCATATCCCTCCTGCAGATAGTATTCCTTCAAATGCTACCACCACCGCTCCAGCAGGCTCGAATCCGTTCTCTGACTCAAATCGTTACTCGGGTGCCCCCTCCGGGACGCCCGCATACTCTTCTTATGCCGCCCCGTCATATATACCTCCCGTTTCGCGACCAAGTATGGACGCTTATGGAGCTTTCTCTGACCCTCCACCTTCTGGCTTCGGACCTACCGCTGCTGCTCCAGCACGTCCTTCTCCTGCAGTCGCCGCCGCACCGCCTTCCCTTCCTGAACCTGACCTCGGACCCCAAGTGAGTCGGACGATGCAGTATGCTGATCCTTATGCTGCTGTTCGCGCATCGTTGGCGGGCCAACAATCGCAACAAGCTGCTGCTGGAGACACTTCACCCTCTTATGGCGCTGCCCCAACCTACGATGCTTACACCGGATATCGTTGATCGTTGATCACCGAACTCTGGTAACAAGAATGGACATGTACAATCACGATGCTTGACATGTTACAGAGCTATTACTATTTGCCGGGAGGAAGGAACTGCTACTTATTATCAACCTACGCCCCTATGTTATATGTTCTATATCTTTCGTCCGTAATTGCAATTTGTATTCTACTATATTGTTATTGCAAAAGTAACTCGAAAGACTTAAGCTCGCATAACGATTATATCATCGATGTAATCATAAACGGGTGCTCGGCCTCCTCGAAAATCAAGCTCGTCGTTTCCCCGACCAACGACTTCAAACTGATAGTATTCCCACTGACTGTACGCAGGATAGATCACTCCTACGAGGTCACTATTCCAATACACCTCCACGAATCCATTCACCTCCATACCTTCTCCAGAGCGGGAATGGAAAAATTCAATGATGTATCTTACCCCTGCTTCCGTAGAGAGACTCGAAGCTACCGTGAGTGTCCCAGGATACTCGTCGTAGCCGAATGCAGAACCAAGTATCGCGACGGAATTTCCGCTATGAGCGTACGGTTTGTAGTGGAAGATGGAAGCATCGTAATACCCTTCCCAAAGAGAGGATGCGAGCCATGTATCGGTGGTATGGGTGAAGCAAAATGCAGTATTCGGTTCATCACAAGTATAATACTCGAATCCCCCGTCAAGGATGTAGGTCTTGCGCTTGTAACCTCGGGATTCGGTCACGGTTAGGTTGCCTTGACCGCGATACACAGCAGTAGATGGGTCGGCGGGTATGTAATACTACAAGAAGTCTATTCAGTGACAGCAGTGAATTAAAACTAAAACTGCAACCTACGATTGAACACGTATAGGTGATAGGAACAATACCTACGACTGCGCGCCAAATGTTGAAATATTTACACGAACCTCCGAGATCGTCAGGAGTCCAGTTGTTACAGATTGCAGCACAGGCATCTACATCGTAGTGTGTCAGGAAAAAGGAATTCAGGTACTGAATGATGCTTCGTTATGTGTAAAAGGACCTGAGAAAATCAAAACGTACGCCAAACGCTTCATTGGCACCGTCCAAATCGGGAAGCGCATCGTAGCCATCTGGGGCAGATGGATTCAAATACGATTTAGTTACCAACCCGCTACTTTGCTGTATGTATGTTAGGTCTCCGGACACAGACATGCGACCAAAGTTGAGCTTCGCTTGAGAAAAGTGCACGTCCCCGTACGCGACACATTTGAGGTTCGAACGTTGGGGATATATATGGTCCAGCAGCAGATTATTGTATTCGTAGTAAACTGGATGAGTGTCGGTAGTAATAAAAAAAGGATAAACGAAGCACCAAAATAACGCACGGTTAACAGAGACTAAGGAGGAATCATGTTTAACGAAAAAAAAGACGAATCACATTCTAGGCTTACCACATCCAAGAGTATGGTCACAGAACTCAAGGCAATCATCAACATTATATGTCGAATTGTTGACTAGGGTATAGGTCAAATAAGCTACACCAACGATTGAAGCATCGGGATCTTCAAGGCCAGTCTCTGTGCCTTCGAAAATTTGCACGTAATCGCGTTTGGTTCTTCGGTGCCAGTGAAGTCGGGACTCAACTGCTGAGGAAGAAGGGTTTCGGGGCGTAAGGACTGCTGGGTTAACCACTTCGCCGTCAAGCGCGGTGGCTATAGTGCTAATAGGAGGTGAATTGGGGCGAGAATCCGCTGTCAATTCAGATATCTGGTCAACTTGGAAGACAGCATAAGCAATGCCATCGAAGTCTATGGTTGTGCCAGTGAACTCGTTGAAATCCCATTCGATTGTCTGAATACCCTGAGAGGCTGAATGGACCACTGAGCCATGCTCTGCGTAGCCATATCGATGATTTGTAGAAGTATTGCCTGCAACTAAAAGCGCTAGCGTCAGATGATAGTAGGGGAATACGAGCATTTGTAGCACCTTTGAGGAAAACCATGGAAGAAGTACTTGGTGTTTTACTTTCGGCCTCGGGGTACGCAATGCGGTTCCTTCAGACCCAATATGAAATTAAATTTTTCTCAGAGCACCTCCATGGGCATAATCATAGAGAATGGGGCCAATATGCCTAGGTGACTTCCTACAGCACTACAATGGTCATACATATCAGTAGTCTTGTCAGCGCTGTGGGGCGCATGCGGCATGCCTATCTTCAAGATATTATCGTCTTGAAGTCTTCCAACTGTTTTGAATCCCCAATGTCAAACTGTAGTCAACCAACTTATCGAAATCAGTTCATGAATTGGCACGATTCATTAGCACATATACAAGAGCTATTAGAGGGCAATGAATAGAAAACTCGTCAAGCCTGCATGACAAAAATATCATCGATGAAGTCGTAACTCGGCGCTTTACCTCCACGGAAATAAAGTTCGTCATTACCTTGGCCAACAACCTCAAACTTGTAATACTTCCACTGACTGTAACCAGGACGAATGGTCCCAATAAGGCTACCATTCCAATACACCTCGACGAACGCATCCACCTCCCCCTCTCTTCCAGAATAGAAGCTAGAATGGAAAAACTCGATAACGTATCTTACGCCTGCCTCCGTTGAGAGACTCGAACCGTAGGTAAGCATTCCAGAGTAATTGTCGTGACCAGTTGCAGAACCAAGTAACGCAACAGCCTCGCCACTGTGAGCGTATGGCTGGTAGTGAAAAATCGAGGCATCGTAATATCCATCCTTGGGGGAGGATGCGAGCCATCCTGCGGTCGTATCTGTGTAGCAGAATGACAACCCATCGCATGCATAGTCTTCAAATCCTCCGTCAAGAACGTAGGTTATGCGTTTGTAGCCCCTAGACTGCGTAACAGTCAGATTGCCTTGACCATAATTTATGGCGGTAGACGTGTCGGCGGGAATATAGTACTAGAACGACTTGAGCACAAAGAGGTCTTCAACAAGGACTGAAATTGCGACTCACCAGCGCACAGGTGTATGTTGTAGGAACCCCATCTACAACAGCTCGCCAAATATTGAAATATTTACAAGAACCGCCAACGTCGTCAGGATCTTGAGCGTTGCAGATTGCGGCACAAGCGTCTACATCGTATTTATTCAAGAAGACGAAACCCATGTACTGCATGAAGCTGTTGGAGAAGCGGTAAATTTGAGCACGTGAGAACGTACCCCTGGAGCTTCATTGGCACCTCCCAAGTCGGGGAGCGGATCGTACCCCTCTGGCGTCGAGGGATCTCCAAAAGATTTACTTGTCCAGCCACTGCTTTGTTGAATGTATGTCAAAGGACCATCGGGAGTGCCGGATAGGGATTGACTACCGAAGTTGAGCTTCTCTTCAGCAGAATGCACATCTCCGTATGCAGCGCATTTGAGGTTGGAGTGCTGTGAGTAGACATGGTCTAACATCTCGTTGTTGAATTCGTAGTAGACTGCATGATATACCTGTAAATAAAGAACTAGTTGTAGCCCAAACATGAATAACTCACGATTAACGAACACTAGATAAGAGAAACAATAAGGATGCAGGAAATGGGCTTCTCAATAAGAACACACTCACCGCATCCGGCAGTAGCATCACAGAAAGCAAGACAGTCGCCGACATTGTACGTCGAATTGCTGACCAGGGTGTAAGTCAAATAAGCTGTACCGATAATCGCAGCATCGCGATCTTCAGACTCAGTCCCAGTACCTCCGAAAACTTGCTCATAATCGGAGTTCGTTCTTCGGGACATGTCATTATCGATGGTCCTGATACTGGAGAGACTCCGGCGCGACACAGGGATTACCATGTCGCCATCAACAGCAGTGACGGTGGTATTGGCGGCAGGTAAGTTGGGAGGTGCATTTGTGGTTGCCCCGGATTTCTGGTTAACTCGAAACGCAGTCGAAGCAATGCTATTGGCATCTGTGCTTGTCCCATTGAAGTTATACGGGTCAGCATTGCTGGCAGGAACACCCTGGAAGGCAGGATAGATCAAACCACAATCTGTGGGCAGATGAGCGGGTTTCGATATAGGTCCACAGGAATACTTGCCTACAAGGGAGACCGCTACAGTTGAGAAGGCCAGAAAGCGAGTTAAAGAGGGCATATTTTGAAGAAGAGTTTGATACTGTAAATTCGAAGCAACGCTGACTTTATACGCGTCAAGGGCCACGAATTCATCGCAGTATCTGACGCCTCAAGGCCTCATGGCTCGAGTCGTTAAAAGCTTTACACTCCCTTATATGTAAAGAATTGACGGTTGAATGGAGTCCGTCTCCATCGTCGAAGCGGCAGGCCTCGACTCATCCTTCTGCGGTATCCTGTAAATTTTCTTTCCTTTCCTACTACGGCATCATACCTTAATCGCGAGAAGCAAGACACAACAGGTAGAGATAGCAATGATATGGAATGTGTCTCGCAACCGCTGACGATAATGTTTGTGGTATATTGATATGAGGGCGGCACTTGCACATTTTTCAACATTGAGATCATCAAAAAATGGTTTGACGATTATCTGAGAGGCGATATGTGAACCAGGACATTATAATTGCTAGAAATTTCGACATACCTATACTCATGCTTCTTACAGGATGGGATGAGATAGGTCGCCTGTAAATAATTTTCCCATTTTTGGCGTAATGAAGCTCCAGAGTCCCTAGAAGCTGATATACGTTTTCCGACGAGGCGCAAAGACCAATGCAGGATATTCGTACATGCGAGTAAAACGAATACTTCCATATTGTTTACATGTTTACACCTAAAACAAAGAGCGTGGATTAAGACGCGAGCAAGACGCGAACAAGGAAGGTTCGACCCACGAGGCACCAGGTCCTTCTCACTGTAGAAGCTCAAGCAAGCATATGTTACTGCAGGCATTTGTGTAATGAGATACGGCATCTCGAACCCTCTGCGGGAGGAGGAAGGAGGTCAATTTTGTATGCGACAGCGGCCATTACCACAAAACTCAATCTCTGATGGGATTTTAAGCAGAAGGCGGAAATCGTATTTGGTGATACCTACTTGCCAGAGACTGATATGAATATTTTGAAAAAGGAATTAGAATGGTGGTATACTATATTCTGCTACATAAGAGCAGCACGGTAGCAAAATATTAGTGATTTGGGGGGGGGGGGGGGGCGTAGCTAGAATCTGAGTTAATTTAACCGACATACATATAGGCACTGGAAGACATACATCATATTGAATATACAATCCTGCAAACATATAGTTGTTCGTGTGACGCGAAGGCACGATCTACTTGGAGCATCGCCATATATTTTCCTGCTCATTGCGTCGGAATTACACCGAAGAGCTGCACAGGTAGACGACGAGAGTCGGGAATGAACAGAGAGCCCATCAATCCCTTTCTAGCCCAAGCATCTACAAGAAGATTGGACCATCCAAGTAGCCAGACGGTCGTCCAGATTCTTCCCAGCCAGCCCTTAACCTTATACCCCGTGAAACTTTTCCAAAAGCCTTCGAGTATGACTCCAACACCCATCAGCATAAAAAAACCTATCATGCCCAATACATCAGAGCCACTTCCCAGTCCCCAAAGACCCACATAATGTAGGATTCCCGAAACAAGGAACGCGCCAAAGACACCGCCAATTCGACCAAAGACATGATACAAAGGAATCCAACCTAATCCAATAAAGAAGTGGCGGAACAGTTGGTGCCAACGCTTTGCCCAGAAGTCTGAAAGAGAATCGGCTCTCCAAGGTTCGTCGAAGATTGGTGGCCACTGAGTGGGAGACTGTCTAAGGACAACGATTCCAATTAGGGTGCAAAAGTCATAGGCAATCTCAATCGCACAATATACGACCAGACCAGATAACAAAGATAAGAACGTCGATCGAGAATAACGAATCAAAGGTGGGACACTTTCGTCGAATATCGAACCACCTGAGGTCGTAGCAAAGGTACCGGGGCCAAACCTCTGCACGGAATAATGCAGTAAGTCAAAGACAGGGATGTGAGTAACAAGTGAAGCTAGTGTCCAGAAGGCAAAGGACCTGTCTGAAGACGTAGAACGCTTCTCTGGAGGAATGTGCAAGCCTTGGGACCAATTCCACCCGATACCACGAAGTCCAAAAGCCAAGTCGGACGCATCTAGTTGCAACTGTCTCCAGTCATTAGAAGCTGGCCGTGATTCTGATGGTGTGCCTTCTGAACCGTGTTTGACGCGTTGAAGCCGTTTATATGGTTTTTTCGATTGAGCCCAAACTATTGAGCGAAAACTCAAAATGGACATTGCTAGCTACAAAATCATAAGAATGATTGAATTACAACACAATAAAAAGAAAGTGAAGCACACCACTAGTCCTTTGTTCAAGTAAACCATTCTCTCGTTGGCAAAGCTCAGGTCCACAGTTGTGGCCGCTCGATAGGCAAGGAAGAGAACGATCGGCATGAGTCCATTTCGCCAGGTTCTTGTGCCAGGGAGACAGATAAGGACTGAAAGAACATAGTAACTAATGACTGGCGGTATGATGACAAGTGAAACGGACAAAAAGTCAAGTTCTTCTCGTGAATGCATGGGCATGCGCAGTTGGATTCAAATTGCACTAGGCGCTTCATGTTATCATTCAGATTCTGTCATCTTATTCTGTCATCACAGTTCCCTGAGGATTCAGTATGTGTTGAAGGTAAAAGGTTTCTGCTGAGAATAAAACACCTGTACAGTATACGTACTTATTCGGTCGGTAAGTTTTGGATGTTGTCTTTGTGGGATGGATTTATACATACTCCGAAAGATCGCATCTTCTTGAGAGTCGCAATACTTCTATAAGGCTTTATACTGGCTTTATACTTAATATAACTATCGTCCCGAATTCCAGATTCATCACGCGTTTCAAGCCTGTTTCAAGGTCCACAGGCCACACTCTGCCACTCTATGTACATGCCCTGCGCAAGTCTTGCATTGTTTGAATTTGTTTCTGAATGGAACTAGATGGAACTCCTTGCCGCTTTACTTTCTTAGCATTGTTAGCAAGTCCGAATTTCAAACTCAGCCTGTACCCTTTGCCTCCAGACGACCTGACATAAAATGCAAGTGCGCATGTAATCAGGTAGTATGTTGAGTACTATCCTGGATTCCTGCCACCTGCAGTGACCAGTCGACACTGATATGCATCTTCTTTTCAATAGATGCTGAGTAGATGATAGATTATGTTCAGGATGTATTAATATTATAGGAATTCAGGGGCCATGGCAGTCCTTTGCGACCAGTTCGCGATTACCTTGACTCTTGCCAAGGTGAGTTCGGTCATAATCATACTGAAGGTAACTCCGTGTATTGATCGCGGCGATTCTAGGTCTTTTCGTCTTGTTGTAAAATTCACCATGATTGCAGCCACGCATAGTGATTACCAGCCTATAGTTCCAGGTCTCGATTCATCCACCCCACAGACTATGAATGTGTCTTGGCAGTCGATATTTTTGCAAAAACCCCGAGAAGACCGTCTTCCCGAGACAGCCGCTGCACGTACGCAGTTAAACCCCCTTGACGAGGCACAGCTCGATATGACCAGTTACGACGAGGTGATCTCTTGTACCGAACAAAAAGCATCCCGCACCCGACTGCAGTCTGCTATGGATGAAGGTCGTGCTGTGCCTTGTCCTATCCAAATCCTTTCTCCAGATATCTTGGGCGAAATCTTTAGCTTGATATGCCTAAGCGATTACTCACTGAAGATCTGTCGCCCCAGGCCTTTCACCAAGGAAAGTCTTATGTCGAGTTCAACACTGGCTTTGACGCAGGTTTGTTCCTACTGGCGCTATTTAGTCTTCTCTCTCCCCCTCCTGTGGTCGTCGTTGTCCATCGAGTCTTGGCATCTGTATGGACGCCCTGCATTAGCCGGCCTCGTTGTGACCTACATCTCGCGCTCGGGCAACGTTCCACTGAAAATTCATCTTAAATCGGAGGAGGATATTCCCGAAGTCGAATTACAAGTCTTCGATGCACTACTCGAACATGTGTCTCGCTGGCAGGAAGCGACCCTGTATATCAGCCTACCGTGGCTGTTGCACGCAAAAACCAAATTGGGTTCGCGACTGTTCCCAGGTTCGACTTGTTTTCTCGAACTCGAACATCTAGTCCTGGATGTGCAGCACAACAGCCAATCCAACCAGGACTTGACGAGATACTTTCCGAACCAAATCATACAATCAAGCCCTAAGCTCAGTATCTTTCATGGGCTTGGCTACGATTCCTCGTTCAGTCCAAGAGGATTTGGGGGTACCTATGGCGATCATTCTCGAGTGACAAAGTTAGTCCTCCATAGGTTCACAGGGAGATCTCTGGGACATCTTCTCAGTCGTTTCCCGATGCTGGAAATATGTAGCACGGGGGGCTTCCGATTGTCCGAGGACGCCTCGAATGGCATCGGCCTCGAGGACGACATCCCAATCTACACGTCGAAGATAACTCACCTGTACCATGCTGCACCTTGGGACACATTCCAAGAGGGGGCCTGGCAATTTCTTCGAATTCCAGACTTGACCTCCTTGGAGCTTCGCCACAATGGCTACTCCTTGACGCAGGTGTCCTCGTTACTCTCTTCATCTGGAAGTATACTATCCGAAGTCAAATTGTACAATTTTCCTACCGATGAAATGATCAGCTTTCTATCCTCACATCCATCTATCTCGCATCTTTGTATACATGTAGACGGAGAGCTGGGATTGCTTGATCAACTTACAACTGGCCTGACGTTTGTGACGGACAGGTGGCCTGTAGTTCCAAATCTCCTGTCATTCGAGCTTTCTTGGAGTGACTGGGGGTATAAGCGATTGCGGGACTTAAACACAATGGCTCTGCAAACTGTCCTCAGGAACGCCATATGTGGGATGGTGGAATCACGCCTTTCCGTCTCAGGGAATCAAACGCAAGCGCAAGGATTACAGAGGCTCGCACTTAGGATTCGCGACGGGGATTTTCTTGAATTCGAATTGCTCTATGAGGCGATAGGCAATAAGCTTTCTTGTATGGAGGGGTTTGATTTCGAGACTCTGACCCCACAGTTTTCTTGTGTCAAAACACATTCCGCTAGTGCATTGCGATAAATGCTGTCATATTTGGGTTACTTCAGTAGAATATCGTTAGAAAGCCCATTCGAGTTATTATAAGATAGTCTTCAGCAGCAGTAGTTAGAGAGCTATGGGAATGCTTAATTATCATCATGAATCCAGGTATTACAAGATACCATACATACACAAAGAGGGCAAAAGTAAACCAGCCACGAAGACATGTTTCGCTAGCCCTGAACAGGGAACATCCACCACCTGCCATACTTACAAACTTGCTTTTTCATACCAGTTATGTCCCTGAAACGAGAAAAGGAAGAGACGGGGTTGGACTACTTCAGATGCAAGATGGAGCAAGGAATAGGGAGGCGAAAGAGCGACAAGGGCATGGAAAACAGCCGTATAGTTTTTTGTTTGCTTCTTATTGAGGGGGTGGTTGGAAGCTGCAAAAAAGTCACATTGAGGAATACAGGTAAATCAGACAACTTACCCAGGAGGAGGTCCAGCAAACCCTGGTGCTGGAGCAAAAGGCATACCAGGCGGGAAACCAGGCGGACGGAAGCCAGGTGGCGGACCTGGCATTCCTGGCGGAAATGACATCGGAGGAGCCATCGATGGAGCACCCACTGAAGAGAGTCAACATCGAAACGGAACGAACAGATGCTACAATTTGAAAGCGCACTAGGGGGCATCATTCCCATTCCACGACCAGCAGGCATACCACGACCAGGCCCAACAGGGAGCTATTAATCAACCAATCAGCATAGAAAATCTTACCAGTAGTCGTGACGAGCGTACAGTATTCTTTTTATCATCATCTACAACTGGTGGAGGGCCCTCGACTGACAAACTGACGACCGTCTCTCCTCTCAAAATAACTAAACCCAACGTCCTTTTCAACTCCTGTTCTGCCGGTGCAGACTCATCTCCTGCCTTTTTCTTTGGTCGAACACGGCGAAATTCTTCGCATTCTGCGAGGACGAGATTCATATGCTTATCGAAAGCAAGCATTTGGCCAGTCAAAGCGCGTCCATCGTTGATAGTGACCTTGAGTCTCCAATTGATGAGACCAAGCATTTTACCACCTTTGGATTTTGGGGGAGGCTACAGGTAATTACAAGGATAAGATGAGCTCCACGTCTTTCATGCTCAGATACACAATACTCACCATGATGAAGGTTTTCAAGGATGGAGGTCAAGAAACGAAGTCAGCGGAGTTTGAATTTGATCTTGCGATTGATTTAACTTGTTCAAAATGACTGACGAAAAAGGTGGATTTACTTCTCTTTCAAGTGGCGACAGCTTCAAAGTAACTTCTACAGTGCTCATCGGTGTAATTGGCGGTAGTGGCCTTTACCATCTGGACAATCTGACCTTGGTGTAAGAATTACTTGTTATCGATATCAGATAACCATTACTTTTTTATCGCAGGAAACATGTCAATCCAAAGACCGTGCGTGAAATCGTTTTCAGACGAATTTACTCGAAATTTTGTTTCAGCCATGGGGCTTTCCGAGCTCTCCTATAGCCATTTGTGCTCTACCTTCTGGCAAACAGGTCGCGTTCCTGGCCAGACATGGCGTAGGACACACCATCCATCCTTCAACGGTACCTTCACGGGCCAACATCTCTGCTCTAAAATCCTTAGGCGTTCGTGCCGTTCTGGCTTTCTCGGCCGTGGGTTCCTTGCGTGAAGAGATATCTCCCGGATCATTTGTCCTTCCAACCCAAATCATCGATCGCACAAAAGGTGTCCGCCCTGCTTCCTTCTTTGAAGGCACATCCATTGTCGCGCATGCATCCTTCGGCGATCCATTCAGTAACAAGTTTGTGACCTGGCTGGAAAACCGGGTGAAGAAGGCTCTTGACGCTGAAGGTCGGGACGTCAAATTGTTTACGGAAAAGTGCATCGTGTGTATGGAAGGACCTCAATTTTCTACTCGAGCAGAAAGCCTGATGTACAGACAATGGGGCGGAGACCTCATCAACATGAGTGCTCTTCCTGAGGCCAAGCTCGCTCGAGAGGCTGAACTTAGGTAGAATCTTCTTAAAAGCGGAAGCCCATTATCTGAATGATTTCTTGAAGCTATGCTCTCGTTGCGACTTCCACAGACTACGATGCTTGGAGACCAGATGAAGGAACCGTTACTGCGGCTGAAGTATTTAAAACACTCACCCAAAACGCAAATACGTCGCGCCGTGTTGCAGCGACAATTCTCGACGACATTCACGAGGCGTTCGCCGCTGACGGAGGTGACATGCTCGAGGAAGTCGGTAGGATGAAACTTTCCATTATGCCTAGATCAGTGGAGCAAAATGTAGAAGACAGGAGGAAGCTTGCATATGTACTGCCAGAGTATTTCTCCGGGGATCAATGACTCCTCTACTAAATAGTAATACAGTGCCAACAGGCACTTCTCATCACCCGATCAACCGTAAAAAGTACAAATTCTTAGAATTTTTTCAGAGCTTGTAGTTAACATCGGAATATAGCCAAATTATGCTCATTTGACTTGTAAGATCTATATACTTGGCTTGTGCTTTGCTAAGCCTATGATCAACTTTTATTTTTACCCCCACTGACCGAAAATGAACCAGCTTAGTCATCGCCTAATTAGGAAGGTGCCTTCCATATATGGAAGATACACGTGGTCGCTACATCGTAAGGACACGATGTTCCAGCTTGATTAGAGCTTATTAGCAACGCACGGCAAAGTACTTTTCTTGGACGGAAAAATGCCAAGCTTTACTACGAAAAAATAACGTAAACCGGCATGTCACCTGCTCTCATCAATCTCATCTTTTGCATCTCCGTCTTCGTTCAACGTTCCTCTGCGTCTCCACTGGTTTAGCAACCTAGTCCGCAGATTCATGACGTGTTTTATTCGTCATGAGTCTGGCGCTTTATAAAAGATCGTTGTAGGGCTCGCTATTTACACAATACACAACATGCCTTATAACCGATATGCTTTTGATGAATATTTTCATGTTCACGGCGATAACCCCATTATAGACCCTTACACTGGCAAATACTGTGCAGATACCTTGCATGAAGACTGGTCTCCTACTACTCCTCCTGTGGACGAGTTTGATACTCCATCCAAGACCAACAATTCTCCTTATAACCCTGCATCTTCTCGGCCTCCTGCACCATTGGGTAACAACAATCCTTACCAAAATGGGTTCCGCTTGCCTCCCATCACCTCCTTCTACCCTCCACCAGTCTTGGACCAATCTAGGATTACCCCTCCTCTGAGCCAGTTCAAGCCTACCCCGACTTCTCCTGGCAAAGAGAATGAGGGAATCCAACGAGCGCATGTTTCCGGTGGTCCTGAAGCTGGCAAGAAAGTTGGGGCAAGAATCTGGACTGCTAAGGATCTCATTGAACTTGCGAAGATCTGCGTAGAGTACAAGCCCTTCCTGCAGCCATATGGAAAGAAAGGGAAGGTTTGGGACAAGATTTTTTATGCGCTGAGTGAGCGTGGCTTCCGTTTATCAAAGGTCCCAGCGCTCTCCTTGCGTCACAAAGCAGAAAGCCTCGTGGGCTACTGGAAGGTCGGTATCACTATGTTTTTTTTTTCGGTGCTAACCTTCCCTCAATAGAATCCTTCCGACAATAACTCGAGCGTTAAGGCCATTGCAAAGATTCTTGACAATAGCATGGACAAGATTACAATTGCGGCGCTTATGGACAGTGTTGAGGCGCAGTGGGATGAAGCGAAGAATAAGTCGGACAAGGCTAAAGCTGATATTCAGAAGGTGAGTTGTCCTCAAACTTGAATCACTTTCCATTGCTGATCCTTTTCCAGAAGCAGGATGAGGACAACGAAGGTGGGGAGGCTATTCGTATAGCATCTATGCAAGCATTCCGTTCTCACAAGCGCGATGCTAAACCACTTGATGATGAAGACACCGACACCGACACCGACAATAATAGTGGTTCTCGCAAGTCCGGCACTAAACGAAAGTTTTCCGACTCGAATGTTACAAAATCTCACAAGCGTCAAAGGTCATCTGTTCGCCGGACTTCGAATAACACAAAAATCCTTGATTTCCTTGAGAGCGATGCCGAGGAACGTAGGTCCCATCAGGATAAGGTGGTAATGCTGATGGAGCGAGGGCAGAAATTGACCCAGGAACATGAGAAGGAAGTTGCCTCGATTTTGCACGGTTTCTTGGAGCTTGATCGTGCCCGGTTCGAACAAGAACGGAGGGCGTAGTGCAGTGATAAAGTAGCAAATAATTGTGTATCGATTTCAAGTCATCAATGTATATATGTATACTAATCCATTTCTATATCGCTGTTGTCGCTACTGCATAATTCAGTGTGGTAAGGTTGCAAATATTCTTCGAGGGTGGGTGGCTCGCATTCCAGGGATTGCGCTGTTTGATTGGGCCGAATGCAATTCAAGATGTTTGTCAACAATACTCCAATGCGATAGAACCGTCCAACAGGTGATGAATAGACTCGATGAACCCACCATGCATTAAGAAATGGCCATGAACGCACAATATCTGCGAAACCATGCTCAACCTCTATTCTCACAGAAGCCATTGCTTCATTCCACTCTTTTTCTTCGTCAGTTCGCTCGCCAAGCCCAGAAAAGGGACTCATCAATACAGGACTAATTCCGTATGCAGGATCACCAAAGACATGAAAATATCGATGGGAAATAGGTGTGTGTGCATCTGCTCCTGGCCTGAATGCATGTGTATAACACCATTCAATGACCTTTGACTCGCTTAGCAGATGGTTATCATTGCGACGACCTTCTACTGGGCCAAATAGAGCACCGATCATGCCATTTGGCAATTTCAGTGCCTGGAATTTGAGTGAATGTCGGCCTTTGTATCCATTGTAGGCTTGTCGCTGATATTGACTTGGTCGACACATGTAGCGAATCGTGCAATCAATGAAACACCACACAGTAGGAAGGGGTGACCCAGCAGCATGAATAGCATTAGCATACTCTGCGAGCTTTACAGGCTTTAGGAGAGGATTCTCGTCACAAGGCTCAAGTAGGTGCTTCCAATGGTCATCAAGAAATATCATTAGAGCATTGACAACCTCGGATATAGCTGATTGACTGCGATCGAAGCGCTGGACTAAGAGATGTTCATCACCTGCTGTCCGGAACCGGGCAAGGAGTAGAGCAAGAGCTTCAACGGCACTAAATTTTGACCGTGAAGGGGTCCTAAATGGATCTGGTATGCACAAGGCAACCGCAAGGTCTGCAATCTCGTCGGCATAAAACCTGATCCATACATCAATGAGCACTGATATTTGGTTGAACATCATCTCTTGGGCTCACCGGAAGTTCCAAAGACAATCACGCGGTTGTAATGATTTGAGATACTCGAGCACAAGCTTATGGCCACCTTGTTGCGGTTGTGCTGTGGCTGATTCAGGCTGCATGACAGCACCTGCAGGCAGATTTAGATTCTGAATAGGTGCTTGTATCGTTCTATGATTCATAGAGAGACCGAGAATGATATTGCGAAGGGAGGGCATGCTAGGGTACATAAGATAGTGGATGCGTGCTATAGCTTGTTTGAACACATGACCGTCATTCTTCGGCAAGTGGAGCTGTGAACTTTTCAAAAAAATCGGAAATCTTTGCAACATAAAGTGACTTTGCCGTGCGTTGCTAATAAGCTCTATTAGAGCTTATTAGCAGCGCGTCAAAAAGTTGCTCCATGTCGAAAAGATTCTGGGATAAAGTCGAAAAGTGTGACAAGAACGTGATCAGCATTAGACAAAGTTGCGTTGGTTTGTTTATATTCTATGTACTGCACAACTTCTAGTATATTGCTCGTACAACATGGTCTTTTGAGGAGAGGGTACACAAACACGTCAGGCTTTGATGGCCTACACGGATGGATCATTATAGCGCAACCGGAGGCTGGGCAACTTTGTTACAAAGGGTACTTAGAGGGCAGAATATTCTTGAGTTGTTGTCACAATGTCAGTAGCGTGATCAAACCGTGCTTTTTCAAAGCATGACTGTTCATTTTTCGTTTTCAAAAAGTTTTCGATGTGTTGCTAATAAGCTCTATTGTCACAGGTATACGGCAATGGATATTGATGGAAACATGTGATGTCACCTCATATGAAGATTGCTCAATATCTCAAGAATGAGCTTAAATTTCAAAAAATGGTAATAAACCCATTCATTGGGAAAGTAATGTACAACTTTCTCTCTATTTACATTTTTCTAAAATTGATGTTCAGGACACACCTATTTTCAAAATTTTGTTGAAGTCAAAAGAAGCACGTGATAAAAACCCGACCTGCCAAAAGTGCCGGATTAAAAACCAGTCACTTCGCTGACACCTTTGAGCGCCAGTTTCCAAAGTGTCAACATCCTAAGCTACTGGCTCGAGTCTAGGCAACACATCTATCACTCCAATACTTTTGATTTTTTCTGAGTCGAGAAAGTGAACACCGTGGGAAAACATTGCCAAATGCGGAACATATTTCTTTCTCGACGTGAATAGCATTCTTTTGGTTGGTTTCATTCCCAAACTAGACCTGTTGGAGAAGTGCCTGTTGGCACTGTACAGTAGAGTTGTGTAAGACCTGGGTCAAAATAGGTCTTAGGGTAGGTTTTGGTATGTGGAGGTTTATGTTGTAGCGTGCTAGGAGCAGGCTGGAGCTCGAAGGGAGCTACGAGAACCGCGACCGAGGACGGGAATGACCTAGTAGTGGTTGGAACGACGAGATGGTGACCCTTGAGGGGTTCCTAGGAGGTCCAGGGAGGTCCCTAATGCGTAGGGAGGTTCGGGACGAGTGCGGGACCGTAAGATATTGCGTAGTAGGAGTTGTACTCGCTAGAACGTCAATATAGAGTCGAGTAGGTAGTTTATGCAACGGGGTCTCGAGGGTGTAAGCTCCCGAGAAGGGATATGCCAGGGAGGGTAGGTCCCTGGGGGCTAGGTTGGAGGATGGTCGTCCTCGAGTGTGGGAGGTGGTAACGGAGAAGCAATACGTAGTTCGACGTGAGGGGTAGCTTCGACGTTACCTAGATCGAGGTCCCGAAGCTTACGAAGTAGCTAGGGAGCTCTGGGAGGTTTGGGGAAGAGTAGCTCACCAAGCGGGTAGGCGTTGGGGAGCTTTAGTAATGTTCGAGGGAGCTCGGGGACTCACTCGGAAGGCTTAGACTTGAAGTAAAAGTGTATATTCGATCGTACCGACGATCAGAGAGACAATAGACAGAAGTAGAGAGAAACAGAGGTAGAGAAACAGAGAGGAAAGAGAAATCCGTATGGTTAGCAGGTACAAAGGGACAGGGACTGGACCTATGCAAAAGGGTGTGTGTTCAAAATATACCAAGCTGGCGCTTGGAGACGTTACGGAGCTACTTAAATAGGTATGGGAAGTGAACAAGGGAACATCGGAGCCTAGGGACATGAGGCAGTAGTCGAAGGAGACAGGTGATCGAGATTTGTACTTAATGGGGCTGGTGCTAAGGAGTTTCGTACGCGTGTCGGGAGGTTGTCAGGATAGTCTTGGGGAGGTGCGTATTACCCGTGGTCCTGTCTTGGGGAGGTGCGTAGTACCCGTGGTCCTGTCTTGGGGAGGTCGGATGTCTTGGGGAGGTGTAAGGAAGCATGTGGGATGGTGCTGGGACTGGTTGGTTGTGGTCAGGGCATGACATTACCCCCCTTCTAACCCCTTCGCGCCCTCGCGATGGTTCGTCGCGTTTCCTGTAAGGTCACCTGACATTCACGTGGTACCCGAAAATTTTCTTGTTGAAGTCCGTCAGGTACCTGCTTTTCCCACTTCTTCCACCACGCCAGTTCTACGAGTTAAACTCCTTCAACTGTGATGTCTGCTCCCCTTCGTCGCTCCAGCTCCCGCACTCGCTCCCCTCAATTACCTATCCTTACTACTATTGGAGAGGTACCTTCCCCTGATCTTGAGTCTGATGGGGAGGCCGAACAGGACCAGCTGGCCTTCACCATCGAATTTCCGTCTCGTCCACAGTTGCAGTTGTTCGAGACGGTTTTTAACACTGGTAAGCCGCTATCGGGTTACTGTCAAGACGATCCTTTGTGGCCTCTCTTGGCGGAGGTAGCTTCCCCTTGCTCTAACTGTTCCAAATCTCCGGCTAAGTGCAAGGTTCTGCCAAATTCCCCTCGATGTACGAACTGCTCCGTGAAGAAGACTTGTAGTTTGGGCAAGATCCTTCGTTATCGGTACTTCGCTCGTTGCTGCAACCAGGATCTCGCATATAGTCGTAGGTTCTTGGAACTACACGGGACTCCTGCACACCAATCGACTTGGGGTATTCCTATGGTTACATGGCGTCAATATGACGCTGCCCTTCATGAACGTACTTCTTCGACCTCTACCCTCCTCGAGTTGAACATGCTTGACGATCAGGACGCTGCTGACGTCGACCAGCAGGAGTTGCGGGACTTCCTCGCTTTGCAACAGGAGGAGGCAGCCGTCGCTGCTAAGCGTAAGCGCGACCTTTCCCCTTTGCCTGTGGCTGGTCCCTCCAGCAAAAAGGTTCGGTCGAATGCTTCTAAAAAGCGTCCCCGTCGTAGGTCCCCTGTGCAGGAGACGGCTGAGGAGTCTTCTCGTCGCGTTCGACTGGTGGTCCCTCCAGTCCGTTCGCTGCCAGTTACCACTTCTACTCCCCTCCCTCCTCGCGCCTTTCCCTCCTCAATGGAGGTACCCGATGCTGATCTGTCGGTGCAGGGTCACAGCAATCTGGTTCGCTTGGCGGTTTCTTCCAATATGCCTCCTGTTCCTCGTCCCACCTTAGTACCTCGCGCCCTTGCTACTCATCCTTATCGTGCTGAAAATCAGCGCCTCGCTGCTCGGGTTCGATTGCTGGAGTCCCAATTATCTGACTCTCAGCGGGAGAATTCCTCCCTCACTTCTGCTCTTCGGGATACTTCCCATGCTCTCGAATCTCGGCAGCGGGAGGTAGAGCAGCTACGATCTTCTAGTCGTGAGGTACGCGAGCAACAAGTGGAGTACCGTCGTGTGTTGGACCAATTCCGTGCTTTGGATGAGGCCCTACCTGGACCTCCTGATCGAGTGCGTATTCTGTTTTCCCTCTAATTCTTTCCTTCTCGTTTAATTCTCCATTCAGAGTCTCTTGGAACGTTTTCAGAAGTTACAGGGGGGTCTTGAAGACGCCATTAGAGAGCGGAAGGTCGCCGAGGAAAAGTTGTCCACTTCTACTCGTAGGAACTCGCATTTGACGACCAGCCTGCTGTATCAACAAGGTGTTGTTGACGAGTCCAATGCTTTGGCGACACGTCAACGTCGTCTAGTAGAGGAGTTGCAAGAGGAGGTCCACCGCGCCCGCGGTCGTGCCGCATTTGTCGAACAAATGATCAAGGAGTACCCTGATGAGGGTTACTACGAAGTCGTCTTGCCCCCTCTCTCACAACTTGAAGGGGACCTTCATAAGGCTCGTGAAGACCTCCGTCGTGTCGCCACCTTCGCTCATCGTTTGTACCGCTCCGAACCTGCCACGGTTCTTCATCACCACTATCGTTATCTTGGGGCGATTATTGAAGCCGTGGTGGCCTTCCTTCGTCGCGGTCTCGACTCTGACGATCTCGACACTGTCGTTCACAACTTCCAGTTGGGTCTGGATTACATGCAGGCGGCTCGAGGTGTCCACGGTGACATGTACATGCGGTCCTTAAGCAGTATTCAATGGTTTTTTAACAATGCTGTCGATGAAGATGAGGGTCTTTATCGTATGGTCCTGGAGCATTCCCGATTCGACAACGACGGTCCCTTCCTGACGGCTGCTCAACACGCGGGTTTCGCTCCTCCTCCCGATAGCTCTTTGGAGCCCCCTCTTCACCGACGAATGTTCGCACTGTCGACGGCTCTTCCTCATAGTGATGGCGCTGGAAGGTGGGACGACATTGTTCCTGCCCTTCCCAGTATTGACCAGCTGACTGCTGACTGGGAGCAGTTGATGTTACAATACATCCATCATATCACCGATACCCCGTTGCCTGTTCCTGATCCTCCAGTCCCCATGTCGTCAATGGGGCCAGTTCCCGAGTCGTCAGGCGAGGCAAACGTCGAGCAGTCCCTCGAGGCGCCCATTGTCCAGGTGTCTTCTCCCTCTGCGGGTTCCCATCCCCCAGTCCCTCTGTTCCTGTCGGAGCAGGAGTCGCCGACCTCCCCTTCTCCTCCTCCTTGTTCCCCAGTTCCTCCCCTCCTTTTTGGGTCCGTCGCCAGCCTATCCATCGATCTAACTGGTGATGATGACGAGCTGTATGAGACGGAGGAGTCTTATGCCGGAAGGATTGCTGTGGCGAGGGAAGGTACCGAGTTGGCGGTGGGTCAGGGAATCGTCAAGGAGGAGTCATTGTAGCATTCATTTTGTAGTTTTATTGTCCTCTGTTAAATATTTTGCTTGCCTGTTCTTTTCT